AGAATCTCCACCCAACTACAGAATACAGATTTTTTTCAGGCACATACAAAATAATCTCTAGGATACACCATATGCTGGGACATAAAACAAGTCTCAGGAAATTTTAAAAGACTGCAACCATACAAAGTATGTGCCTGATCACAACAGAATGAAATCAGATATCCACAGCAGGCCGGTTCTTTGTCTGGGGCTTGCTATAGAAGTGGTAAATTCTTCAAACTCAGGGTTCTTCTCCTGTAACAACCTGCTGCATGTGTACGCATCCATCCTGGGTCCTTTACATTGCCTTTGTGGGGCTTGGGAGGCATGGGGAACTGATGAAAACAAACAAGAAGCTCTAGCTATTGCCATTGCCCCGAGTAATAAAGTTTTGTCTCTGATGCAAGACTTGTGTTTCTGCCAGCGCCCATGGAACAGTAATAGCCTGTCTTGTTAGCTCATAAGTAAGGTAAATCTCAGACCCTGCATAGTTTCTGACCGTTTTCTTTAGTTCTTTGAACATATTTTTAACAGCTGCTTTGAAATCTTCGTTAAATCTAATATCCAAGGACCCCCGAGACCTTTTGTATTGACTGCATTTTTTATATTAGCGTCTGAGTATAAGTCACACTTCATTTCTTTGCATGTGTCTTCATTTTTTGTTGAATATTGGGTATTTTGGATAGCATACTGCAGCAGCTGTGGGTTCTGATTCCTCCTCCCCTCCCCCAGAACTGTTCTTGTTTTGTTTGTGTAGTGAACTTGCCTGGACTAAATCCTTGGCATCCATCTTCCCCCACTGTGCAACCACTGATGTTTCTTCTTAGCTTTTGTTTTTCATTTTGTTTTTATTCTTAAGCCTGGCTTTCTAGGGGTAACCCTTGTGTCTGTATGGATTAGTGTTTAGCCAAACATCAGTCAGAAGTTGTGCTCAAACACCTCAAGCCAGTAAGCCTTCCACTCTCAGCTGCTGGGTCTGGTGTGTTTTGAGGCATGTATTCAAACTTGAGGTCATTTTTTAGTCTGCCTCAGCTCTTGCTTTCCATGGGGTCTCTCACTGGTCCTCTGAATACACACGTAGGTTCCGCTGGCCAGGGATAGGTGGGTCGCCTGGACCTACTGCTGGCTCTGTCGCACATACTCAAGGCTTTCAGTCTTCCTGGGGCATGTGGAGAGCTTATTGAGCCTTCTTAGTGTTTTTTTCACTTTCTCAAACTCCCTGTTAAATCTTGCTAGTCTATCGTCCACTCTTTGCTCTGGGAAAAGATCACAGCCTCGGGCTGGCCGAGACGCTGGCCCTTCCTCTTCGCTTGCCACCAAGATTACCGCTCCAACAGTACTCCACATCAGATGAGCCCCTCTGACAGCAGCAGCTGCAGGGCCACCGGCTTCCAGGGCCTGCCCGGCTCTGTTGAACAAGTACTCCAGCAGAGCTGGGGGAGCTTGGAGCACACACAGGAGGAAGGGCACACACGCTGGTTTCACCTGAACTGTGGTGATTTTCACAAATAAATGCTTCTTGGTTTGTTGTATGCCTTTGGCCAGTTTCCAGTCTTTGACAGTTTTGTGCAGCTTTATACTTGTTTTTTTGGGAAGAGCATCTGTTGATGTCCTCAAACCATCATGCTAGAAGTCTGAAGTGCCAATCTCCATCATTTGCCGTTGATCCTGGTGTAACTTCGTTGCCTGTTTGATTCTCTGGGATCACGTAAGACTCTTCCCTTACCCGCCCAACTAGAACATGGAACAGCAGAAAAAGAACCAACTTGGGGAAAGTGGGTGTGAAACACTAGGACCAGAATGGACATGGATTGGGGCACCTGGGTGGCTCAGTCGTTAAGCGTCTGTCTTCGGCTCAGGTCATGATCCCAGGGTCCTGGGATTGAGCCCCTCATCAGGCTCCCTGCTCGGCGGGAAGCCTGCTTCTCCCTCTCCCACTCCCCCTGCTTGTGTTCCCTCTCTCGCCATCTCTGTCAAATAAATAAATAAAATCTTAAAAAAAAAAAAAAAAAGGAATAGACATGGATTTTTCCCATAGTTAACTAGGAATCATTTACAATGGCCTGGCATTACTTATACTTTTATTCTAGGTATAACGGATAAAATACAGTTGCAAAGCAAATGCTTATATAACATAATTATATAAATGTTATTTGTATGTACTTTGAATCTGCTAGAAAGATTAAAATAGTGTGTGTGATGAGATTGTAGCAACACTGTCTCCATTGCACTAACAGTCTCCCTGAATTTTCTTCCACTTATTAATTCAGTAAATACACATTTATTACCTAAAGTATACACAGGCACAATGAGTGATACCAAGATGAAGCAGATACAGATTTTGTCTTCCAGGAGCTTATAGGTTAGCATGATTGAGCGTGAACATGAAAAATATACATGGGAAGCGCTGGATGCCATTAAAAACTTACAGATGTGTGCTCTAGAAGTTCCAGAGGCTAATTGAAGTTTCCCTGTCTGACGATTCTTTCAGTTATCACCCATTACTTCTGTGCCCTGATCCTTCCTGCTTACATTCCCTTCCTGGTTGTCTTTATACTTACCTCCTTCCGTTTGTCACCCATTCAAGCTAATTGTGGTGCTACTGGTAGGGAGCATTTCCAGTTTATAGACAAGGTCACTGAGATCAGAGAGACTAAGTGACTTGCCCAACTTCACATTATTAGGAAGTGGCAGAGTCAAGCTTTGAAGACAAGGTGTTTGTACTTGAAATCCTGGGCTTTTTCCAGTATGTACTACTGCCTCTTACATTACAAATTTCCTCTCCTCTCCAGCCAGCAGATAGTTGGGGAAAATTTAGCTTAGTGAATCGGGTCAGACTTGGAAGCAGCTTTTACTTAGTGTGTTTCTGGATGGGCAGAGAAATGAGGCAACAAAGCAAGACTGTGTTCAGGCTACTCTTCGAACCATTTCCCACTAAGAGTTTTTTAGTGACTTACTTTACAATAATCAGAGATTCATATTTTTGGTTGCTTCTTACACATTTCTCTGGCAGATGTTGGATCATTATTCTGGACACAGCATGTTCAGAACCAGATTTGCCATCTCTCCCTCAGTCTCTAGTCTCTTAATATTGCCGTTCTCCTTGAATGACACCACCCACCACCCATTCTCCCAAGCCAGAAACCTGGGAGTCCTCGACTCCTTTCTGACCTTCCCCCAGCCTCCAATCCTGTCATTTCCATCCTACCTCATGAGGTTGTTGTGTGAATAAACTGACACAGTATATGAAAAAGAACTCTGAAAGCTGTGAAGGAGAGGTATGTACTCTGAGGCAGCACATCTGTTGAAGCATCAGGGATAAGAATGTCAGGCCTTACAGGCCGTTCAGATGTAACTTTCTTACAACGTGGACACTTGCGTCAGTGGAGTGTGGACTTGTATCTTCTGGGACTGTGGCTGTGACTTCGTAGTCCTACATTCTGATGGCACTCTGTACTCTTCAAAGTACTTTCTCATAAGGAGAGCAAAAGACAGGGTAAATGAGTTGCCCATGATGACACAGTTGGCAAGTGGTACAGCAGGAGTAGAACTCCTCTTGGCTTAAACTAAAAACCAAAGTTGCTTTTAACACTACATCATTTACCGTCCGTGACCTAGGATGAGTGATTTAGCCCTTTTAAATGTCAGTCTCTACATAGAAGACGGAAATATGAAGGGTCCATATGAAGAGCCAGAGTGCCATGTAGAGACGGTAGCTGCTGGGTGACTCTTGCCCCTCCCCCACCTAAGCAGTGACTTTAGGTTCGTCTTCTCTGTACTTTCCCTTAGAGAACTTACTCTGGCATAGTTACTTGACTGCCTTACTTTAAGATTCTCTTGCAGTTCACAGGCCTTTCCTGGAGGTTGTTGACCTACCATTTCATTGAAAATTAGGTCCAGAATTTTCATGTTTTCCTCTCTGCCTCTCCTCCACTAATTTTCCCACTAAGGTTATGACACAACTCAGATGAACTCCTTTAGTTAAAAATTGTGAGATTATACTTATGCTTTCTGGCCCCAAGATGCAGGAGATTTTCGGTTTGATATTAGGAAAATCAGAAGTGTCCGACAACAGAATGGACTGCCTTAAGGAGTAATAAAGTCACCCATTACTACAAGGGTATAAACAGACTTTTGATCAGCGGAGCTTTGACTTGCCACCGCTTCATCTACCCCATCCAGTCCCTGAGTCTGCAAACCATGGTAATATACACAGAGAGCACTGTAACAAACAGATAAGCTACCTAAGTATTGTGTTTTTATGGTTTTGACGTTTTTGATTCATGTTTTTATATTGTTGTAGTTAAATGAATTGAAAAAGATAGCAAGTAAAATATTAGTAAAGTGAGGAAGGTTGTCTAACTTGCCTGGGTATTGCCGAATTACAGAGAGCAGAGTTTATTATTAGACGAAAGTTAAAGATGTGTCTCTTGAGTCTCCTGCAGAGCTGAAGACACCAGCTCTGCAGTGAGGTCATGACAAGCCTGGGCCTAGGTCCAGAGCAGCTAGGCTCATCCATGCTACACATGTTATTCCATATTTGATAAAGTAGCTAAAAGTACTGAGGTTTTATCATAGGTGAAACTTCTATGTGCAAAGTTTGACAGATGTTGCATGCTGCTTTCAGAATTAAAGAAAATTACTTGGTCACTGCTGTGTCCTTCTGTGAGATGTTTTATTCTCAGCCGTCACCCTCCCTGTCCCTTGCCCACAACCATTATAGTGACCAGAAAGTCTGCTTGGTCTACAGTGATGTGTCTGAATGGTGCCCATTAGTTCAGTAGTTAACCCTGGCCTGCATGTTAGCCTTCAGTTTAATGGCCTTTTTTATGTTCATTCATTTTATTTTATTTCCCATCGTGGTTTTGTTTATTTCTTTTTTGTTTTTTGTTTTTTCTGTTCTCTTTTTTAAAACCGTCGTGGTTTGCCCTTCATATTCCCCAATGTTTGCACATGACAAGATGTTGCCATCCCAACATTACCTCCCACTTCACTGACCAGTGCCACTACTGACCATCTAGCACCAGCCACAACGGGACCACTGCCTTCAGCTCCTCGGGATGTCGTGGCCTCCCTGGTCTCTACCCGCTTCATCAAATTGACGTGGCGGACACCTGCCTCAGATCCTCATGGAGACAACCTTACCTACTCTGTCTTCTACACCAAGGAGGGGATTGCTAGGTAAGTGTCCATATGTCTGGAGCCAGTTGGTTGCATCTTGGTCTATCCCAGGCCAGTCATGCTCTCCCTGGCTCTTTGTTGTGCAGAATCTATACCAATTTTTGGTCCAGAAAATATGATCACTAATATGCATAATTCCCAATTTTAGGTCATTAAAATTTATCCCAGTCAGACTGAAGTCCTGATATTCTTTCCTGCCTCTCTTGAATGACTTGGGGAGAGGGTAGATAGAGCTATTTAGGTGGAAGCATTAAAATATAACTAGGGTTCCTCTCTTTTCATAAGGTTCAGTCAGCACAGCCCATAGGACATGACTTACTTAGAACATACAGATTCTAGAAATTAAGGTAGACTTAATTTATAGAAGTAATCTTAAATGAATATTTGCCTGCACCCATACGTGGAAGTGGGCTGCTGAGAGCTCCCGGGGGATTTCCTTGATGACACAAGAGTAGTTAGTAGCTGATTTTCCTAACCGCATTTTCATTAAGTTCCTCTCTATCTCCACCTCTTTCAGGAGCTCACATTGCGTCTTCACTGCGTGCGGGAGGTTGTGCAGAATCCCCCGGCCACTTTACTCCGAGTCCAGCTTTATTGTATCTGTCCAACCTTCCTTGTCTCTCCTCCCAGTTTAACTCCCTTCTCATGAAGCCAGTCTGATTCCCATTCTGTGCCACCTTTCTTCCAGTGTGTTCTCTTCAGTCGCTTCCCCCTTTCCCAACTGAAGCTAAAGTCAGTTCGTCCTTCATAGCTCCGATGAAGCCCCAGGAATCCCTCATGCAGTTTTCTCCACCTTTTTCAGCATATACAGCCTTTCTCTTATATGTGGTCGTGCCACTAATATTGGCACTTAACTATGATAACACATGATCTCTTGCTGCTGTAAGTTTTTACTCTTCTGCTGTTTTATGTGTATTTGTGTTGTTTTCCCAACCCGATTATAAAACCTTTGGGAGGAACCATGCCACGTGCTATGTATTCTTAGCATTGCCAAGTAGATTTCTTCATTCATACCAAAATAAGAAAGCTAAAATATCTGTTTTGGTTAGGGCCCTCACACATGAAATAAAGCTTGTGTCTCTACCAGGGTGCTTACATCTGATACACTTTGTATTTAATAACTAGATTGTCAGGTTCCACAAGGATAGGAACCTTCATCAAAATTGCTTGATTTAACCCTCTTGAGAAGTCTGTGTGACTTCATTGAGCCATTTAAACGGAGCTACCCATAGAATAATGTTTTTCTGAACATTGTACCAGATGTTTTGGGAATTATAAAGATAAAGAAACATAGTTCTACGCACAAAAAGGCAAGACATTACTACCAAATGGCATCTGTGTTAAAATGTCTCCAATAATCTTTCACATCTCACTGCTAATTTTGTAGTATTTCACAAAAGGAAAAAACACTTAGTAATTCCTCAGAATAACCAACTTCTTTCCACTCTAGGTCCTTTGCCCTTGCTGTTCCTTCTACCAAGAATGCATTTCCCTCACAAACAACTGTTGCTGGCTTCGTATCTGTCATCTTCAGATGATACCTCCGTAGGCCTTCCATGAATACCCCCCAACTTAGCCCGCTTCGGCCCTATCACACATGGTGTTCTGGAGCCAGTTTGTTCCAAAGCCAGTGATTAAAGTTTCAGGAAATTTTGCAGACCCGATGACGACTTTGTAGCTCAAAACAGGGCATGGCATGAGTATTGACTGGGACGAGTACTACAAACCAGAGCTGGTTATTAAAATTTACCAGAATACCACTGCTATCACATCACCCTGTTTTGGGTTTGGTTTGGTTTGGTTTGGTTTTGTTTTTGTGGGTTTTTTTGCTTTTGTTTTGTTTTCAGAACACTTAACACGCTGAAATCATCTCTTCTAATAACCTATTTCTTATGTCTGCCTTATTCAATAGAGTATCGCCGGCACCTGGAACAGGGCCTGACATATAATAGCACCAAATAATTACTTGTTAAATGAATAAATTCATTTCAATCAATGGAGAAATAATAGCTTATTCAAGAAATCGTGTTGAGATAATTAACTCCATTTGGTGGAGAGAATGGAAGTTATAGCTCTGTCTTATATCATGTATAACAATAAATTACAGATGGATTAAGAGATTTTAAAGTTCATAAATGTATTAGAAGAAAGTATATTTTATCACTTGAGTGTGAAAGGCCTTTTAACAGAAGACAGGAAATCCAGAAGCCACAACAGGAGAGACTGACAAAGTTTATTATATAACAGTGTAAAATTCCATGTGATAAAATACCATAAACAAAATCAAACTATCAAGTGATGAGCTGGGAAAAAATTTGTACCATTTATAAAACATTGTATTGCTATCCAATCTATATAAAGAGCTCCTACAAATCAGAAGTAAAAGACAAATATCCCAAGAGGCAAATGGTACAAGTAGATGATTAGCAGAAGTTAATGGAAGGCCCATTAAAGTTAAAAAATGTTTTTGCCATTGCCCGCGGCCTGGGTAATACAAAATAATACAAAAAGTGAAACTATTTTTCATGTATAAGGCTGGCAAAAATTTTAAGTTGATAATATATAGTGTTAAGCAAGTTAAAATGCTGGGAAGAAATCCGCTCTAGGCTTTTGGTGGCAGTGTAAGAGCGGCCCTTGGAGAAGGTGATTTGGCAGAATTTTTTTTACCTTTTTAATGCACATACCCATCAATCCAACAATTACACTTCTAGATGTTCTATAGATAACAGATATACATATGCATAGGGCACTCATAAAAATGTTTATTGTAACATTATTTGTAAGAATGAAAAAAGGAAAGTAAGTGCCCATTGATGGAGGAATGGGCACGTAATTAATATATGTATATCCACATGAACTGTGATACAGGAATTTTTTAATGACATATCTCTGTATTTTGATGTGCATGTAAATGCCCAGAGCAGTGATTCTCAGCCAGCGACAGTTTGCCTCCATCCCTCAGTGGACATTTGGCCATGTCTGGTGACATTTTTGTTATTAAACCTCAGATGAGAGAGGATGCTTACTGTCATCCAATGAGTAGAAGCCACAGATGCTGATAAACGTCCTGCAGGGTACAGGACAACCCCTTACAACAAAGAATTATCCCACCCAAAAGCTCAATAGTGCTAAGGTTGAGAAAACCTGACATGAAGAGATCTGGTAAGATACAGGTCAGTATGTGCCACAGTTAGGTGTCAGGGAGGACAGGTTTTGAGGAGAGAGAAAAACTGGGACTTTTGGATTTTTTAAAACTATATATACTTTTGTTTTTAATGAGATTCTGTCACTTCAATTTAAAATTAAATTGTCAGGCAGGAAGACAAGGCAAGTATATATAAAGGAAGAGGAGGTGCAAGGAGGATCCAATTTAATTTGCGTGTCTGGTGTTTGATGGATGGGAAAGTAGGAAAGCTTAACTGGCCCAGAGTTCTGGTAGGAATTAGTAAGAGATTATAAATAAAGTGGAAGTTTGGAGCCAAATGTCATAATGCCAGTAAGAATTTGGACATAATCAGTTAAGAAGGGACCATTTTAGACTACTGAGCAAGTATGCACTGTGATTTTATTAAATAGCTTTTTTATGAGCACTACGTAAAGAGAAGAGAAGAAATGAAGTCAGAGAGACAAATCTACTTAATCTAGGCATGTGGTGGATATGGCCTGGACGAAGGTGAGAGCAGTGACTTGAAGTGAGCAGAATAAATCTAGGGAATATTTCAAAGGAAGATTCTTGGAGACTCATGTTTTTGTCATTTCATTTGTGAATGAAGTTTATGATTTCTGAATACAAGCCATGAAGGAGTAGAAAGAACACTAAGTCAGAAGACTAGATCCTGCTTGTTTTGTAAACAGAATTTATTTAACCTTTATAAGCTTAGGTTTTCTCATCTAAAAAAATGAGGGTAGTAACTTTTCATCACAGACTTATAATAAGAATTCAGTGTGAGGATGGAAGCCACTACCTGCATTTACAAATCCCACTACTTCCTGCACTTGAAAAATCAGCCACCAGATGGCACAGTGTGTCTTGGTCATGAGATAATTCTTTTGGGTGCTTGAGTTTCTTGAGATTTCAAAGGGTCCTTCCTCTGCCTTTTCAACTATGAAATGTTCATTCTTTTTTAATGTAAATAGTACTTTTCTGATATTAGCCACTAAATGTAAAATGCAGAGTAAGTTATTCCAGATGTTAATAACATTTTAGAGATGGACGAAGCCTCAGGTATCTTAGTTGAGCCCAGGAATTGGCAAGCTATGGACCCTGGGCCAAATCAGACTTGTTATTTTTATGACCCAGGAGCTAAGAATATTTTTTTGTGTTTTCAAGTGTGGTTACATTTTAATAGGTTATATAAGTAACTACTTAATATTTTCCATTTCGTCTCTTAGCCTGTAAATATTTACTATCTGGCTCAGAAAGAATTAGTGAGCTTGCCAAAACCAGAATTAGAGCTCTTACTGCCTAGCCCAGCACTGTCTTAATATAAAATGTACCTTTTCCTTTCTCCTTTGACTCTTAGTTACACATTCTAACCTAAGTTCCATTGCAACCTCACCTATTTATGAGAATTGTAACCCACCCTGGATCTTGTCCTGAAGTCAAAAGTTTTTTTCTAGACAGGCACTTGGTTCTGGGACCTCAGACCGATCTAGAGTTAAAGCTTTTGCAGTACTGGCTAATTATTCTTTCATCTTAAGGAATCATATGTATTACTGATTTTTTTAATTGTAGTGTTTCTGTAGAAATTTGTTCTAAGTTTTCCGTTCCCTTCACTCATTTTTCCTGTTTTTTTTTCCTTTCACACAGGAATGAACAAAAGATGTACATGATATTATTACTATACAAAGTTTACATAGAAAGCAAATTTCCATTCATGCATTCTGCACATATCTGTGATGCTGCTTCCACGTATGAGCATTCTGCTAAGTTCTTCTGTAAAATGGGAACATGATTGAGACACTTCAATTTAAAGTAAAATAGCGCTCCCCCCAACTATCCTTCTCAAGATAGTTTCAACTTTTTGTTTAAACTGTTAGGTACAGTGAGCAAAACAGACCTAATCTGTGCTCTCACATGGAGCTTGTGGTTGGGTGATGTGTAAAACCCCATACTTTCTTTTAGACAGTGATCAATTGTGATCAGAGCAACTGTCAGAAACTTCAGAGTGTAAGAAATCAGCTGATAGCCTCCTTTTAAATCTTGTGATTTAGAGGGTTAGCTCAAGAGAAGATACCTGTCAGTATCTCAAGTATCTTTGAGCAATAGCTTTTGTTGCTATAGTTACCTGCTCTGGCAGACCTAACGTTATATACAGACAGGCACTCTCTATGAAGATGATGTGAGTTCTGTTGGTTTGTTTTAAATTAAAATAAGGTAGTTTTAAAAACTATAGGAGACTACTGAAAAACACTTAAATCTCTGAAATGTAAATGTTCACATACAATCAGGCAAATCTGCATAAGGTCATGTAGAACTAAACAAATTTTAATCTGTGATTTCAGGGAAAATTACCAATATCTTAAAGTAAGAATTTTAATTCAACAAATTATGTAATTTCAAGTAATTTTGTCCACAGAGTGGTTTTGGACCTTTTTATTACTCTGTCAGGATAGATACAGACCTCTCCTTACATGATCGACAATCCTTTAAGGCCAGCTATTTGTCTAAAACAAATGAATTCTTCCACAATATTTGTTGAAAACTCTTGTGTAATATAAACTGGTTTTTATTATAGTATGTACAGTGGACTGAGTATAATTATGGACAACCCTCAGTTTGTTTCCTGGAGTCAAGAGTTAAGATTTTGATATGGCATTTATCTATAGGAATTGCAATGAAAATGAAACTGCACATTCTAGAAGTGTTCCTAATCGATGCTGTTTCTTTCCACACCCCTCTTTGCCCAAAGGGAACGTGTTGAGAATACCAGTCGCCCAGGAGAAATGCAGGTAACCATTCAAAACCTAATGCCAGCGACTGTGTACATCTTTAGAGTTATGGCTCAAAATAAACATGGCTCCGGAGAGAGTTCAGCTCCACTCCGAGTAGAAACACAGCCTGAGGGTAAGTCTTCCACCTATCTGTCAGCCCTACCTGTATGTAGACCATAGGAAGGTCTGCCTTCCATGTGGTCTCATGTACCATAACAGTGCAGAAGGTACCAGTTCCTTGCCATCGAGGACCTTATGAATTAGTTAGGGGAGATCAAAGTAATTCACATCAAACAGTGGCAAACAGTGTAAGGCAATAGGACTCTGCTGATACCCACTCAGATTTTATTGATTCTTTGAGACCTGGCTCAGATGCCTTGTAGACTCTTTCCCTGTGACCTCACCTATCTGATATTGTACCTCTCTAATTCTGAGGAAAGTAGGCAGCACAATCATTTCTTCAAGGAGTTTGATTAGAAGAAAGAGACTAATGTAGATGGAACCTGATTCTCTTGAGGGTATTTTAGGGATGGAAAGTGGCTATAACATGTTTTGGCAAAAGACAAATTAATGGAAGGAGATTTGTACTTCATCTGGAGGTATTCAGCCGGTGGCAGGAGAAGTGCAAGTGTTGAAGTCAGCCCTCAGAAAATATTTTACATACTTAGCTGAACAAACCAACTTAAAATTTTTTCCACTTATTATGCCACTGTGCAGGTGAAATGAAAGAATTTCTTAGTGCCTTTTTAGGATCATATTTGCTTATGTGTATCCAATGAATATATTGAAAGTTATTTCAAGGGAATCGGGGGATTGTTTTGTTTTCCTTCCCCTTTAATAACTTAGAGGAAAGTTTCCTGTAGCAGCAGAAGTGTGACAAATCCCACCTGTCAGGCTGCACAAAAAAATGCTCTTAACATTAAGTGAATAACCATGATTCATGACTAAATAAAGCAAACAACTGTCAGAATAACCACATTCAGGTTTCTCTACTTTGGTAGCAAAACTGTCAAGCTGTGGTACTGTTATTTAAGAAACGTTGTTTGTTTTACATTTTGCTAGGTTTTTTTTTTTTTCCTGTTCCTTAAATCTAATGGATTCTGTTACAGAAACACCGGCACCAGAGAAATTGTTTTTAAATATAGAATGTCTACTGAAGCGTAGGCATAGGCAACCTCTGGAATTTGTGTATAAATTGGGGCTGGAACTTGTCACAAGTTCATCAGTCAGATGAAAAGAATGCAGTAAAGAGGTACGGGAGCTGTTGTAGGAGTTAGAGCTGGACTGTCTTCCAGTCACATACATCCCGTGGAGGGCGTCGTAATAATCTTCTGACTGGTCTGCTTGAGTCCACTTGTTAGAATCAGAAAGTGTGCAGCTCCTGGCTCGACCACTCACTGACTTTCCGTCATGTGGGAGCAGTTCTTAGCCTCTCAACCTCATCTGTAAATAGGGATGATAATAGTGTCCCTCTCATGTGGGTTAGTGCAAAGATTAAATAAGACATAATTTAAATACATGTAAGGCACTTTAAGCTGGACTCATTGTAAGCATTCAATAAATGGTAGCTATTTTAAAAATCGTTATTCTTTAGTCTTATTTGCTTACTGTTTTTCTTCCATGCATACATTTACATGTCCTTTCTAAACACAGATCTGATCATACCATGTCATGTTCCTGCTCATAATTTTTCAGTAGTTACCTATCTCCTCCAAGAGATGAGGCAAACTCCACGGCAGCACATTAGAAGCTCTTCACTCCCCAGCTGCGTCCTCCTCCTCAGCACCCCTCCCACGTTCGTTCAGTATTCACTGAACCACATTATGCCGTCTTCTACATATCCTGTCCATTGGCTGCAGTAATTTTTCCCTTGGTATCTGAGGAAGCTGTTCCTTCTGGCTCGCCAGAAGTCTTCCCCAGTCCTTTCCCCTGCCTACACACCCCCCTTTCAAAGCAGAGTTGTGTATTCTCTTTCTGTTTTCGTTAGTCATCATGAAATCTGTAGGCACTTGTGACTTTTGCAACTATTTATATGTCTGAGTTCCCTCTAGACTGGGAATTCTTTGTGGGCTGGGACTCCATCCATCACCACATCCCCAGTGCCTGGCAAAAGAAAGCTCTTTCTTTTTTTAAAGTTTTTTACTTTAATTCCAGTATAACTAGCATACAGTATTATATTAGTTTCAGGTGTACAATAGAGCAATTCAACAATTCTATACATTACTCAGTGCTCATCAGGATAAGTGTCCTCTTTAATCCCCTGAAGACTCTCTTTTTGTGATGGCTGCTTTTATGTGCTGCAGTCCTGCTGAAAAACTAGGATTTTATAAACCACAAAAAAAATTCCGCAATGTTTATTTTTTCCTTTGAATACATTTGAGATACTTCACAGATAATTTTTGGTTATAATTTGAGTCTAAAAAGGGAAATGCATTTAATTATATACTATCCTAAAACCACTTCAATCAAATCAGTTGTTTTCTGTTTTTAAAAACATGGCCATTATGACGTTATTGCTGAGAATGGTGATTGAGGAGTGCAGTAAATTTCATTCATATCTTGCTGTCTCAAAATTTTCTTTCTAGTTCAGCTCCCTGGCCCGGCACCTAACATCCGAGCATATGCAGCTTCACCTACTTCCATCACTGTCACCTGGGAAACACCATTGTCTGGCAATGGGGAAATTCAGAATTACAAATTGTACTACATGGAAAAAGGGACTGATAAAGAACAGGTAAAAGATGAAGACTTTTTTGGTAAGATTTATTTATTTTAGAGAGAGAGAGAAAGAGTAAGCAGGAGGAGCAGAGGAAGAAGGAGAGAGAGAATCTTAAGCAGGCTCCATACCCAGCGTGGATCCTGACACGGGCCTCCATCCCAGGACCCTGAGATCACAACCTGAGCCAAAACCAAGAGTCGGATGCTTAACCGACTGTGCCACCTAGGCGCCCCAAAGCCATTTTTCAATCAATTGATTGGAATAGTAGAGTTGAAATATAGTTCCAAAACTCAATACTTGCTTGTCTAGAAATCTCAGAATAAAAAAGTTGTATATAGGAAATGAAAAGTCAGCAGACTCTATTTCTTTGTACCAAGTTATATTCTGTAGTTTTTATCAGGAGGGGTCACTAAACATCAAGCAGTATTTCCCTGTTAATTGCCAGTTTTTCTGATTAATCTGCTTTGATTGTTAAGTAGTATTTCGTAAAAGGGATAAAAATCTGCGTTGTTGTATCACATGCAAAATTTGTGTAGTCAATTCTTTATTTTGCAGCATTTCTTTTGGCTTGAGTTGTATACGTGTAAATTGTTTTATTTTATTCCAGGATGTTGATGTTTCAAGTCACTCCCATACCATTAATGGGTTGAAAAAATACACAGAGTATAGTTTCCGCGTGGTGGCTTACAACAAACATGGTCCTGGAGTCTCCACACAAGATGTTGCTGTTCGAACGTTGTCAGATGGTGAGTCTTTCTTCCTTTGGAACACATACCATGCTTGGGGGCCCTGGTGAGGTCATGGGCTTTGATATCAAGAAGGTTCAGTTCAAATCCCAGTTCTACCCCTTTCCTGGACTTTAGTTCCTTAACATGTCTGAGCATGCTTCTTTTTATGCATAAAATGTAGATAATACCAATTTCATTGGGTTTAAAAGATTTACTGGGAGAGGGTAGAACTTGTAGTGCCTGGTACTGAATAGTTTCTCATGTTTTTATTTTTAGGAGGGGCTTTTGTATAAATAAATGTTGTTTGTTCATAACACAAACCATTCCAGGGTTGATGGAAGGCTGGCTTTGTTCCATTTAGCAATCATATTTGTACACCAAGTAGCTCTTTTTAATTCCTCAGTATTTTGTGACAGTTTCATTTCTTACCTGTGACTGAATTTCTAAGCTAAGTTATATTCATGTAACCATGACCTAGAGCAATATTTTTCAAAGTTTGCCAAGGGGATTGAGTAGGTCAAGACTGGCATTTTTAATTTGAATTTTTATTTTTTACTATTTTTTAAATTTAAATTAAATTAATTAACATATAGTATTAGTTTCAGAGGTAGAGTTCAGTGATTCATCAGTCTTATATATCACCTAGTGCTCATTACATCACGTGCCCTCCTTAATACCCATCATCTAGTTACTCCATCCCCCTGCCTCCCTCCCCTCCAGCAACCCTCAGTTTGTTTCCTATGATAAGAGTCTCTTATGGTTTGTCTCCCTCTCTGATTTCATCTTGTTTTACTTTCCCTCCCTTCCCCTTTGCTCCTCTGTTTTGTTTCTTAAATTCCACATGTGAGTGAAATCATATGGTAATTGTCTTTCTCTGGTTGGCTTATTTCACTTCACATAATACCCTCTAGTTCCATCCATGTCATTGCAAATGGCAAGATTTCATTTTATTGATGGTTGAGTAATATTCCATTGTGTGTGTGTGTGTGTGTATCACATCTTCTTTATATATATATATGTATGTATGTATCACATCTTTATCCATTCATCTGTCGATAGACATCTTTCCATAGTATGGCTATTGTGGACATTGCTGCTATAAACACTGGGGTGCAGGTGCCCCTTCGGATCACTACATTTGTATCTTTAAGACCAGCATGTTTTAAAAAATATTATTATAATAGAACAGAAAATAACTGTGTTTATTGCAGTTAATAAGTGTATATATAGAGATAGATAGATAGATAGATAGTTTCCTAAAAGTCATAATATTTTTCAAGGATTTAGGCCTGTTTGTAGAATTTTCCTCAGTTTGGGTATGTCTAACAGGGAAGTTCTATAAAAAAATAAATAAACTGGCCTGACTTCTTAAAAAATATTAGTCTCATGAAAGAAAACCAGTGGGGGGGGCAATAAAAAAAGTAAAAGGACTATTCAGAGAAAAAATGGGGAATTATCATTCTAGAATCTAGGTTAAAGAAAAAGACACATGAAATAATGTAAAACGTGTATTATCTTTGGCTTCTAGATCTGGGAGTAAAATTAGCTATCAAGGACAGTATTACTTAATGTTTGGTAGATGTACTGTTATGCAATTTTAAATATTAGATATGTTATTAGTTATGGTACATAATTTTTAAAAATTTTTTTTGACATTTAAAAAATTTTAATTCCAATATAGTTACCATACAGTGTTATATTAGTTTCAGGTTCACAATATAGTGATTCAGTACTTCCGTACATTGCTCAGTGCTCATCATGATAAGTGTACTCTTAATCCCCATCACCTATTTCACCCATCCCCCACATCTCCCCTCTGGCAACCACCAGTTTGTTCTTAATATTTAAGAGTCTGGGGTTTTTTTGTTTGTTTGTCTCTTTCTTTGTTCATTTGTTTCTTAATTTAACATATGAGTGAAATCATATAGTATTTGTCTTTCTCTGATTTATTTCACTTAGCATTGTACTCTCTAGATTCATCCATGTTGTTGCAGATAGCAAGATTTCATTCTTTTTTATGGTTGAGTAACATTCCATTGTGTGTGTGGGAGGATGGTGTGTATACATACTACATCTTTATCCATTAATCTATCTGTAGACACTTGGGATGCTTCCATGGTTTGGCTATTATAAATAATGCAGTAAACATAGGGGTGCATATATCTTTTTGAATTAATGTTTTCTTATTCTTTGGGTAAATACCCAGTAGTGAAATTACTAGATCATATGGTAGTTCTATTTTTAACTTTTTGAGGAACCTCCATGCTGTTTTCCCCAGTGGCTACACCAGTTTGCATTCCCATCAAGAGTGCACAGGTGTTCTTTTTTCCACATCCTTTTCTTTTTTTTTTTTAAAGATTTTATTTATTTATTTGAGAGAAAATGAGAGATAGAAAGCACGAGAGGGAAGAGGGTCAGAGGGAGAAGCAGACTCCCTGCTGAGCAGGGAGGCTGATGTGGGACTCGATCCCGGGACTCCAGGATCATGACCTGAGCCGAAAGCAGTCGCTTAACCAACTGAGCCACCCAGGCGCCCTTTTCTCCACATCCTTGTCAACAGTTGTTTCTTATGGTTTTCATTTTAGCCATTCTGACAGGTGTGAGGTGGTATCTCATTGTGGTTTTGATTTGTATTTCCCTCATGATTAGTGGGATTGAGCATCTTTTCATGTGTCTGTTGGCCATCTGTATGTCTTTAGAGAAATGTCTGTTAATGTCTTCTGCCCATTTTTTAAATGGGTTATTTGTTTTTTTGGTGTTGAGTTGTATAAATTCTTTATATATTTTGGATACTAAACCTTCATCAGATGTGTCATTTGCAAATGTCTTTTCCCATTCAGTAGGTTGCTTTTTAGTTTTGTTGATTGTTTCCTTTGCTGTACAGAAGTTTTTATTTTGATGTAGTCCCAATATTTTCGCTTTTGTTTCCGCTGCCTCAGGAGACGTATCTAGAAAAACGTATTGCATGGAGCCCTGGGTGTTATACGCAAACAATGAGTCATGGAATGCTACAACAAAAACTAATGATGTACTGTGTGGTGACTAACATAACATAATAAAAAAAAAGTGTTGCTATGACCGATGTCAGAAATTATTGCCTTTGCTCTCTTCTAAGATTTTTATGGCTTCAGGTCCCACATTTAGGTCTTTAATCTTTTGGGTTTATTTTTGTATTGGTGTAAGAAAGTGGTCCAGTTTCGTTCTTTTGCATGTTGCTCTCCAGTTTTCCCAAAACCATTTGGGAAGTTGAAGACTGTTTTTTTCCCATTGCATATTCTTGCCTCCTTTGTTGAAGATTAATTGACCATTTAATTGTGGGTTTATTTTTGGGCTCTCTGTTCTGTTCTATTGATCTATGTGTCTGTTTCTGTGCCGATACCGTACTGTTTTGATTACTGCAGCTTTGTAGTATATCTTGAAGTCTGGGATTGTGATACCGGCAGTTTTGTTCTTCTTTTTCAAGATTGCTTTGGCTCTTCAGTATATTTTATGGCTCCACACAAATTTTAGGATTATTTGTTCTAATTCCATGAAAAATGATGTCAGTATTTTGATAGGTATTGCATTGAATCTGTAGCTCACTTAGGGTTATATGGACATTTTAACAATATTTGTTCTTCCAATCCATGATCATGCAATGTCTTTCCATTTGTTTCATCTTCATTTTCTCTCATCAGTGTTTTATAGTTTCAAGAGTACAGGTCTTTCACCTCCTTGGTTAAGTTTATTCCTAGGTATTTTATTGTTTTTGCTACAGTTGTAAATGGGATTGTTTTCTTAATTTATCTTTCTGCTACTTACTAATATATAGAAATGCAGCTGATTTCTAAATAATACTTTGTGTTAAGATTAAATTTTCTGAATGTGGTTGTTTTATTATAGTTTTGTTGGAGAACATCTTTGTTTTAGGAGATATGTACTATAGTATTTAGGAATGAAGTATGATGATGACTTCAGCTATTTCACAGATGATTCAGAAATAGTATGTAGATGTATAAATATGTATGTCTAAATATAGTGAGGGAAATAAAGCAGGTGTGCCAGGACATCAACAATTTGTGAATCCAGGAAGAGAATATGTAGAAGTCATTGTCTTATTCTTGCCACTCTTTTCTGTGTCCTTGACATTTTTCAGGATAAAAAGTTGGGAAAAATAAATATAAACTGTAGTTTGGTTAGCCAACTACATAAGGCATTTGGCCAACTTTTGAGAAAAGTTGAGGGAAAAAATGTTTCATGTAAGTTTTTAAATCTACACATGAACCAGTTTTAATTGTAGTAAGTGGGTTGGCATGCTGACTACAGTGCCTGTCATGGGAACTGAATGTGTCTTAGCATGGTGGTTAGGGGCAGCTCTGTGGAGTAAAACAAATCTTGGTTCCTACATTAGCTGAAACACATAGCTCAGTCAGGTTCACTGCCCTGAACCTCCTTTGTAGTTTTTTCATCTGTAAAATGGGTTAGACTGTGGACTCTGAGAAACAAACTGAGGGTTCTAGAGGGGAGGGGTGGGGGATGGGCTAGCCTGGTGATGGGTACTGAGGAGGGCACGTACTGAATGGAGCACTGTGTGTTATATGCAAACAATGAATCATGGAACACTACATCAAAAACTAATGATGTATGGTGATTAACATAATAAAATTTTTAAAAATCTATTATGAAATTGTTTTACAAACATTTAAAAAAATAAATAAAATAAAATGGGAATAGTTATAGAAACTCCTTTGTGGAATTGTTGTAAGGATTAAGGCCTGCCATGTAGGAGCATGCAGCAATCTTAGCCATGATGATGAAGACGATGAACACACGAGCAGCAGCCTCTGTCGGTTGCCTCTGCAGCTAAGTCAGAGGCTCTTAACAAGGAGATGATTGGAACCATTCATAGACTTTTTTTTTCAAAACACAGTTGCATAAGTCCTACTCCACAACTTCCGTTCCTGAATCTCTGGGCTGAAGCCTGATGTTCTTTGTTAGCACAAGATAGAACATTGAGCAAGACATAGTCTCTGTCCTCCAGAAGCATATAGTGCAGTGGGCACTTAGTCATATATCTGGTCACCAAATGTCAGAGAAAGGGAGAGAGAAGTTTCCATGGATGGACTAGGAGAAAAGAGTTAAAGTCAACATTTTGTGAGTGGAGAGGAAATTAATCAGGTTTACTTAAATTCTTTTTGCTTGCTATAGTTCCTACAAAGAGGGATGCTGGAAGGTGTGTGGATCATAAAATTTGAGATAGCCCTGTCTTGTGTTCTCGTATGTGAGGAACTAAAGTTATGCAGCTATTTGTTTAACCAATAGTCCCAAACTTCTCATACTGAAATGAGTGTTCCCTGCTATAAAAGTTGCCTTGGGAAGCCAGATGGTCCCTTTACTGAAGCTGTCATTGTAAATATCTCTTTATTCTCCTTGTGAATTGTCTTCAAAACCAGTTTAGGAACCCCACAGGAATGCAGAGCTCACTGATTTATGTACCTTGTATTTTGGACTCATAACAACATTACCTAATACATATACTTGCCATATTCATTAGATTTGTTTCCAGAAAATTTGTGTCTCTTCCCCAAGATAAAGATATGCCATCAATAAGAATATTCAAAAGAATATGTTGACAGTTCAATGAGATACCACCTCACACCAGTCAGAATGGCTAAAATTAACAAGTCAGGAAATGACAGATGTTGGCGGGGATGTGGAGAAAGGGGAACCCTCCTACACTGTTGGTGGGAATGCAAGTTGGTGCAACCACTCTGGAAAACAGTATGGAGGTTCCTCAGACAGTTGAAAATAGAGCTACCATACAATCCAGCAATTGCACTACTGGGTATTTACCCCAAAGATACAAATGTAGGGATCCGAAGGGGTACGTGCACCCCAATGTTTATAGCAGCAATGTCCACAATAGCCAAACTGTGGAAAGAGCCAAGATGTCCATCGACAGATGAATGGATAAAGAAGATGTGGTATATATACACAATGGAATATTATGCGGCCATCAAAAGGAATGAGATCTTTGCCATTTGCAACGACAGTGGATGGAACGAGGGTGTTATGCTGAGTGAAATAAGTCAATCAGAGAAAGACATGTATCATATGACCTCACTGATATGAGGAATTCATAATCTCAGGAAACAAATTGAGGGTTGCTGGAGTGGTGGGGGTGGGAGGGAGGGGGTGGCTGGGTGATAGACATTGGGGAGCGTATGTGCTATGGTGAGCACTGTGAATTGTGCAAGACTGTTGAATCACAGATCTGTACCTCTGAAACAAATAATGCAATATATGTTAAGAAAAAAAAAAGAAGAAGATAGCAGGAGGGGAAGAATGAAGGGGGGAAATCAGAGGGGGAGACGAACCATGAGAGATGATGGACTCGGAAAAACAAACAGGGTTCTAGAGGGGAGGGGGTGGGGGGATGGGTTAGCCTGGTGATGGGTATTAAAGAGGGCACGTTCTGCATGGAGCTCTGGGTATTATGCATAAACAATGAATCATGGAACACTACATTAAAAACTAATGATGTAATGTATGGTGATTAACATAACAATAAAAAATTAAAAAAAAAAAAGGAGACATCACACACACACACCCACAAAATATGTTGAAGGTTCAGAATGTACCTGGGGTCTAGAAAAGTTTAGAGTCACTGTCATGTCCTTGAAATAAGTATCTGACTTCCCAAAGGTGCAACCTGACTTGGGTATGGATGCCTTTATAAGAATGTGTCTCATTTTTTTAAGTGAATCAACTGTGGCCACACCTTATCCACGTACTGCTGTCAACATAAGGGCATTGGCAGCTAGGTTTAGACCTTTCAGTTGCATAATTGTGTTTGAGATGCACATTTGTGTAAAGTCTGGCCAGGAATATCACATGATGGAGTGGTATGTGGGTGATTGAAAAAATTTTCTTTCTTTCTTTTTTTTTTTTTTGCCTGTCCAGTTCCCAGTGCTGCTCCTCAGAATCTGTCCTTAGAAGTAAGAAATTCAAAGGTAAACTTTATATTACTATTCATTTTTACTGGCATACTACTAAGTTTCAGAAGGACTTATAAGAGAGGGAGATTCTATATCAAAAGAATCGTACTCAAGCAGAGAAATAAGGTGTCATAGATATTACACCTGCCAGTAAAGCTGGACTTAGAAACTGACTCCGTGTTTTCTGTTTAACTTTACTGCCTTTCTCTGATGCCAAGATTACGTTAGTCTTTCTGCAGATACATTGTAGTTTGCAAATCCTGACATAATAGATCTTAACAGTTCAGAACATTGGTGATAAGGTGGAAAGAGGTAAGTTGTTTATGATACCGTGGCTCCTTAGTACTGTGAAGTGAAGGTAGACATCCGTCAGAATGGTGCATAGGCTCAGACTCCCTCCTGGCCACGTCCACTGTACACTGAAGACCATGTGTGCCTCTCCAAGGCCCAAAGCCGCTTCTGGGCTACATTGACAACTGAGACACTCAGTCCTTTCAAAAAGCACCATGGGAATCCTTGTCCTTTAATTAAAAACCAGTTATTAATTAATGATTCCCTTCTCGGAGAGTTTTAGGCAGAATTGTCTAATTTCAGCTGTTCCACAATGGAGATAGCAGAGAACCTTACACCTAACCATAGTTTACTTCCTAATCTATGTGCCTCTGACCTTATATTTTCCTTCTGAAAGCTTTTCTGAGACTTTTGCCTAAATGTCTAAATACCCAGGAGAATAAGGGCCCAGAGCATACTGCCTGCAAATATAATCTTCCCATTTAATCACTGAGGATTTTAAAATTAAAAATAATTTTGAGTGATCCCTAAGTAAAACTCTGTCTTTGCACCCTGCTGCCTTATGTCAGTGAATTCAGGATAGTAATTTATAAAACAGGACCAAGCTTTTGATATATTCAGTCTTTTCCCTATAATCTTGTCTTTCCCAGAGTATTGTGATTCACTGGCAGCCACCTCCTCCAGCCACACAAAATGGTCAGATTACTGGCTACAAGATTCGCTACCGAAAGGCCTCCCGAAAGAGTGATGTCACTGAGACCTTGGTAACTGGGACACAGTTGTCTCAACTGATTGAAGGTAAGCTGCCTTGCGTGTGGGTGAAAACTAGGAGATGGCGTCTTTCTCAGGCATTGAGTTATGCTCGTCTAATGACTACTCTGAGTGGTTGACTTAAAGTGAAAACAGTTCAAAAGAATTCGTAACGGTTCAGTCTACTTCTGACTTCATAAAAGTTAATGGAACACAATCTAATAGGTTCTGTCATCTCTGGCTGTTGAGTTTTATTTCTTTACTTGTGGTTTTTTGTTTTCTCCACATTTTCTTTTTTGAATGTATATATACAGCTCTTCCTCAACTTACGATGGGGTTATGTCCCAATAAACCCATCAAAATTTGAAAATATCCTAACTCAGAAATACATTTAACACACCTAACCTGCCAAAATCATAGCTTAGCCTAGTCTACCTTAAATGTGTTCAGAACACTTACATCAGCCTGCAGCTGGACAAAACCATTTAACACAAAGCCTATTTTATAACAAATTATTAGATACCTCATGTATTTTATTGAATACTGTACTGAGATTGAAAAACAGAATGTTCTAAGTGTATAAGGAGTTTACCCTCGTGATCCCAAGGCTGACTGGGAGCTGCCCCTGCCCCTGTCCAACATCACAAGAGAGGATTGTGCCTCCTATCTCTAGCCTGGGAAAAGATCACAATTCAGAATTTGAAGTGCAGTCTCTACTGCATGCATATTGCTTTTGCATCACTGTAAAGTCAAAAAATATTAAGTTGAACCACCCTAAGTCTGTATTGGTTTTTTGCAATCTCAAAACAAGGCAAAACAAAGCTATATAGGCCAAATATCTACTGTAAGGGTCTACAGAGGTCTACAAAATGACTTTTATAACACTGACACCTCGTGTATGTGGCCTGAAACATTTGTGAATAGCTATAGCAGTGCAGTAATCTTTCTTGCTACTACTTGCTACATGATAAAAGTTTTAGAGAATTCTGTCCAGGATAGCTCCTTTTGTGTAGTTTTCCCTTTATGTGCAGCAGAGCAAGTGGCATATTAGGTAACAATGGGCCCTACTGCATCTCTAATATGGGCTTCCTCCATAGATGACAGAATAGCCCCCTCTTCCTTCACCCAGGAGGGGGAGTAGACTTGGCTCTGCAAGGGCCAGTTGGCTTTGCAGGAGAAGCATGGGAAGAAGATGAAGTGCTTTTTGCTCTTTGGATATTGGGACTGTGCTTATAAAGAATAAAGATAGATGCCCCTAAGAAACCATTTTGGGGGTTCCTAGCAGAGCTGGTAGAAGAAAACTGCAAGAATTGGAGATATTGACATCGTTATCTAAGCCCTGAGAATGAATTTCATCACCCTTGGGGAGCTCTCAGCTTCCCTTACATTGCCCCCTCCTTGGTAGAGAAGCTTGACATCAGCCACTTTCCTGTGCCTCCAGGGGTCAAGTTCTTGATAGAACCAAGATCTGGGGTCAAAAAGTGTAGTGGGATGAGTTTCTAAGAATTAGGTGAGTCACTGACAGTGAAAACTTGTACTCTGGTAATCCAGCAAGCTTTTCTCCTTACTCTTCACCTCAAAGATGGGACTGACTTCTTTCAAAATAGGTGAATGTTTGTCTCCAAGGGTAGCTTTCAGTCTTTGAGTTTCTTCACATGAACCCCACAGCTCTAAGCTGCGGCGAGTACACATGATTGCAGTGGTGTTGCTGAGACATCTCACTAAAGGAGCATTACAGTGCAATTGGTCTCGTGTGTTCTTAAAAACCAGTTGCCGTGAGAGACTCTGGACTCCGGGAAACAAACTGAGGGTTACAGAAGGGAGACGGGTGGGGGATGGGGTAGCTGAGTGATGGGTGTTAAGGAGGGCATGTGTGGTGATGAGCACTGGGTGTTATACACAACTAATGAATCGTTGAACACTACATCAAAAACTAATGATGTGTACTATATGTTGGCTAATTGAAAATTAAAAAAAAAAAAAAAGTTGCTGATTTGACTCCAGATACAGATAACATTTCCCATGCATAACAGTACCTATACACCAGGTACTGTTCTTGTTGCTAATAATGTAAAAACAGAATATAGTCCTGGACCATGAGGAGGCTGTTCATTTTCTCAATGAAACGTTTGATGTGTAAGCAAAATAATCATCTTCATGGTAGAAATAGCTTTTTCTTTATGGAGAAAATCATTGCATTTCAAAATCATATTTAGATTCATTTGTTTAACAGACTTTATTGAACTTGTACTAGTGTGTGCTGGTACTAGGTATACAGTGGTGAGCACAAATGGACATCTTTGCTCTCTTGAAGCATTAACTTGAAGCTTGATAAGCATCAGAGAGCAATGTGGATTACCAGGATCCTGTCCTGAACCACAAATTACATGACTCCGTGTTAGCCAGAAGTAATTGTTGTTTCTTCATTCTGCACCACTTATGGAACTTAACACATTCTGCCATATCTTTATAATATGAATTGTGGGCCCTAGTTGAGTCTATGAACTCTGTAGGTAACCTGAGAGGAAAGGAACTCTTAGCCTTTTTACACATGCTTCTCTTGCTCACACGTGTGTGCACACACTCCCCACCCCCCCACCTCTTGCTTGCTGTCTTACATTCTAACTCTCCCCAGAGGGGAGGGAATGATAATTTGGTTGAATTCTTTCAGGATCTCAGTTGAGCCATGTCTGCCAGTAGTCCATATTATTTGTCTATTAACAGTACAAACACATGCACAGCCTTCTCTGGCACTTTCTGCTTCAGTGTAGGCAGGGAGGTGACGGGTAAACTGACTTGGGCCCAGCCATGTGGCTTCTCCTTCTGCCTTGCTTGTTGCTTTCTTGTGGGCAGACAGCTTCAGGATGGGCCTGCTGAGAACAGAACCTCCCATCTCTTCTCTCACCACGTGACAGGATTCATTAACTGAGCCATCCTGCATCCTGGCCACGTTCTCTCTCTCTCTGTGGTTCTCTCCTTAGACCTTCTGTACAATGCTGCTGGCCAGAGATCCCAATATTTCAATATGGGGAGGTAGGATCATTTCTCATAACCTTGTAAGATGTAATGCAATATCTAGTATGTAAGTGCTCTAAAGATGTATACACGTGAAGTGTACACTGAAAAATAGTTAAGATGGTAAATTTTGTTATGTGTTTTAACATAAAAAAAATGGATGCATGAATTATCTGAATAGCTGACCATATTATTGGCTGTTGCTCTACTTTGTAGGGTAGACTTTTACATGTGGATTTTTGTTGCCTTCAGTACATTGGTAAATTTATTACTCATAGTCATTATGAAAAATTGCATAAAAGCAAGGCTTTATTCCTCTTATTGTATATACTTATAGGTAGGTAGGCTGTTGTGAAATAGATCTGTAGGCCATATTCATTTGTAGGCCTACTCTTGTTACGGGGTGGCTCAGAGAACAGAGGTGAGGTAACCCAGCAGGAATTATATCTTTTAATTCCTTTCTGTCTTGGGTGTCCTTCTGAGACCAACTGACTTTGTTCCATTGTCATGACTCTTTCATTATCCTTGACCTCTTTTTGACCTTAGCTCCCTTAGTAACAAAATGAAGGGATTACATTAAATGATCTCTGAGGGCCTTCAAGCTCTTAAAAAAAAGGATCTGTAACCTCCTGGGAACTCTGGTCACTGGTTTTCCTCTTGAATGTGTGGGCTTCAGCCTCTGCTAGAGGTGTGGGAGCTCAGCTGTGCTGTGGAGATGTATTGCTTGTGCCCTCTAACTTTAATGGAAACTTCATCAAGATAGTAGCTGTGTACTGATTTGGTGGATGAGATACTCAGTGAGAAGTTGTTAATCTTTTGTTTTCCAGACTCTTATTTCAGCTTGTCTTTTTTTTTTTTTTTGTCGTTTGGGTCTCAGGTCTTGATCGGGGGACTGAGTACAATTTCCGAGTGGCTGCTCTAACAGTCAATGGCACAGGCCCGGCTACTGACTGGCTGTCTGCTGAAACTTTCGAAAGTGACTTAGATGGTAAGAACAACAATCTACAGGATTGGGAGAAGCTAGGTACTGACTGACTGTAGTCAAATTAGTGAAACTGGAAACCCACAAATTTGGGGGCATATATGGCTTAAGTCTGTGCACTTTACCGTATTACATGGCTGTCATTACTGTAATGCAGAGAGTCTCCTAGAGAGCTGCCCCTGGCCCGCCCCCACCCCCACCCCAGTGGCTTTTACGACCTGTCCCTTTCAGCAGGACCAGAACAAATAAAAATGTACAGGTGCTTTAAGTCTAGTTTTTTATCAAGGCCACTGAATAGATGAATGATCTGAAATTTAACACTGAGCCACATCAATCCACCTTTTTCAGCTACAGCTTTCCTTTTCCCTTAGTCCTGGACACCTTGCCCTTTTTCTACCTCTTTATTCAGTGAGTACCTTTATACAGGTGTGTATATGCCTTTATGAGACACAGGTGCTACACTTGGGAGACAAAAGATCTGGGTCCTTATTCTCATTCTTGGTTTGCTAATTTTTAAATTTAGATAGCAAGTTATGCTTTGAAGTAACGGATTTGAAAGATATACTATAAATTGCTACCTTTTTTAAGCCTCTTAGTCTCCCACCATTTAAATCAATATGTGGTTCTAAAGTTTCCTTTTTTCTGACTTATATTACTTAGGGGAGTAAATAATAGATACAATTGCTGTAATGTGATACTTGATCATCTGTTGACAACAGCTTCTAATTAGTTGGTCTTATGCCTTTCTCATTCCACCTAGGTGAGTCTGGGACTCAGATGTGGGACCAAGAGGAGTGAATAACTATTGAAAGGCAGTTTGTTTCTCTCCATTGGGTAGAGGTTCTTAGATCTCTTTGTCTTCCCTTCCAAATTAATACTGCATTGTCTTGTATTTCAGGCTGTTTGGGTTTTGCTTTCTTCTTAGAATATAGTAAAACTATGAGCCATACTTCACTATACATACAGATTCTCTGTGAATTCTTGGGCATAATGGAAAAATCTTAGCCCCAAATAATTTGGCAGGAGGCTAAACACCATGCCCCAAGGATGATAAATATTCTAAAGTCTTGCTTTTCTCCTTTCCTTCCCAGAAACTCGTGTTCCTGAAGTGCCTAGTTCTCTTCATGTCCGGCCACTGGTCACTAGTATTGTAGTAAGCTGGACTCCTCCAGAGAATCAGAACATTGTGGTCAGAGGTTATGCCATTGGTTATGGCATTGGCAGCCCTCATGCCCAGACCATCAAAGTGGACTATAAACAGCGCTATTACACCATCGAAAATCTGGGTATGTATGCTAAGCAGAAGAAGTAATTGCATATGGGATTTCTTTCTTTTGACATTTGATTGTATGATAATTTTATTTTTACAGAAAACTTTAAAATATAGTACAAAGAGGGGTGCCTGGGTGGCTCAGTCGGGTAAGCGTCTGACTCTTGATTTTGGCTCAGGTCATGATCTCAGGTCGGGCTCTGTGCTGGGCACAGAGCCTGCTTAAGATTCTTTCTCTCCCCTCTTTCTCTGCCCCTCCCCCACCCCACTCACACTCTCTCTCCCTCTCAAAAAAATAAAAAAGTACAGAGAATTTCTATATATTCTTCACTAAGAGTCCCCAAAAGTTAACATTTCACCACATGTGCTTTATCATTCTCTGTCTTCCTGTACATATATATTTTTTCACTGAACCATTTGAGAGTAAGTTACAGATGGGATGCCCCTCCACCCTCTGATACTTTAATGTGCTTTTCCTAAAAATGAGGAATTTTCTAATATAACTACAGTACAGTTATCAAAGTCAACAAATTAACACTCAGACAATATCTCTAGACTTTATTTATATTTTACTAGTTGCTCCATTAACATCCTTTATAACAAAAGAAAAACATTGTTTTCTGGTCCAGGATCACTTGTTGCATTTAGTTATCATGTCTCATTAGTTTTCTCTTGATACAGAACAGTTCCTTGGTTTTTTCTTGAATTTTATGACTTTGACATTTTTGATAAGTATAGACCATTTATATTTTATAGAATGTCTCTTAGTTTAGACTTGCCTAATATTTCCTCAGTACTCTCAGCTTATGCATTTTTGGAAGGAATAGCATACATACATTGTGTTCTTGTCAGTACATTGTATCAGGAGGCACATGAAAGTCTGGTGCTAGTGATGTTAACTTTAATCACTTGGTTCAGAGGGTATCTGCTACATTCCCTAAAGTTACTGTTTTCTCCTTCAGAATTAATAAATACTTTGTGGGGGAAATACTTTGAGTCTTTGTAAACATCTTGTTTCTCATCAAACTTTCATTCACTAGTTTTAGCATCTTTAGTAACAGTTATTACTGTGGTGTTTCCCAAGTGAATTTCTAATTCTATTATTTCTTCTACATTTATCAGCATTCTTTGATAAAGAAGAGCTTTCCTTCTCTTCCTTAGTGAAAGAATGGCGAATGGGAGTCTATGACTGATTCCTCTGTTTGACATCTTCTATCTTTCTTTGAGCACTTTCTTCCTTTTGGACACAGTAAGATATAGTAGGCTTATCTGATATTTTCCTACCGTTAGCCCTTGAATCAGTCATTTCTCCAAAGAATGCTGGTTTATTTTATGGAAAATGACATTTAGAAGCCAATATCTGAACACTATACACACTCCTTGTTATCAGGGTAGAAAATCCTCATGCATCTATAAAAAAGGCTACTAAGACTATAAGTGAGTTCAGCAAAGTCACAGGATACAAATTTAATATACGAAAATAGTTATATTCCCATGTACTAACAATAAGCAGTTGGAAGTTGAAATTAAAAGTACTACCTACATAGCATCAAAAAATATGAAATACTTAGAGATAAACTTTAAAAATATGTACAAGGTCTGTACACTGGAAATTAGAAAATTATTGCTGAGAGAAATTAAAGATGACTTAAATAAGTAGAGGTATCATGTTTATGAATCGGATAATATTATTAAAATGACAGTTCTCCCCGGTGCAATTCCAAGTAAAATCCTGACAGACTTTTTTATAGAAATTGATAAACTTAATTCTAAAAATCAAAGGAACTAGAATAACCAAACAGTTTTGAAAAAGAGAAATCAGGTCTTTTCAACAATTCTTCAGATGTCTTCTAAAGACCCACATTACCTGATTTCAGGACTTACATAAGGCTACTGTAGTTGAGACATTGTGGTGGTATTGGTGCAAAGGTAGGTGTTATAGATCAATAGAACAGAATGGAGTCCAGAAATAGATCCATATATTTATGGTCAATTGATTTTTGACAAACACAATAAGATAATTTAGTGGGGAAAGTGTAGTCTTTTCAGCAAAAGGTGTGGGAAGAATTGGATATCTGTATGAGAAAGAAAGGGAACTTTCCTTGACCTTTATTTCCATCATACACAAAAACAGAGCTAAATGCAAGAACTAAAACCTGTCTTCTAGAAGAAGACAGGAAAAAACTTTCATGGCTTTGAGGTAGAGAAGGATCTCTCAGGATGTATAAAGCATAAGTTAAAAATTAAAAAATTAATCTATAGCACTTCATTGAAATTTAAAACTTCCAACTTTTGGAAAGACACCAATAAAGTGAAAAGATGAGCCACAAACTAGGAGAAAATACTCACCATTCAAATATCTGACAAAGAATTTGAGTCCAAAAAATATAAAACTCTTCCAACTTAATAAGAAGATGACAATCCAGTAAAAGAGTAGGCAGAAGATTGGGATGGGCAGTATACCAGAGAAGATATATGAGTGGACAATCAGCACATGAAAAGATTCTCAGCATCATTAATCATTAGAGAAATGCAAGTAAAACCACAGTGAAATACCAAGTTCCACCTATGGGCTTACAACACATGAAAATCCTATTTACTCATTCTCATCCAAGCCCTCCGCTGTACAGTAGCATCACTACACCATTGGTTAGGTGAGGCCAAGAGAGGATCCAGGCACAGCCATCCTCACTTCTGGGACTGCTCCAAAACATTGATCCCAGTTTTTCTGTGCTGTGTGTGCTGCCATCTCAACATTTCCCCACACCCTGGAGGAATCCCACAGAAACGTTTTTCAAATCTTCTTTCCTTTCTCTGCACTTAAGATCATGCACCGTCACCCTCGAATTTTTTTTTTTTTTTAAGATTTTATTTATTTATTTGACAGAGAGAGACACAGCGAGAGAGGGAACACAAGCGGGGGGAGTGGGAGATGGAGAAGCAGGCTCCCCACCGAGCAGGGAGCCCGATGTGGGGCTCGATCCCAGGACCCTGGGATCATGACCCAAGCCGAAGGCAGACGCTTAACCAACCGAGCCACCCAGGCGCCCTGAATTTTTTAAATTCTGGAGAATGTTTTCCTAAGTGTTTTCACTTGTTTCCTTCCTTCAGATCCCAGCTCTCACTATGTGATAACCCTGAAAGCCTTTAACAACGTGGGTGAGGGCATCCCCCTGTATGAGAGTGCTGTGACCAGACCTCACACAGGTAAGCCATCCTGTCCGCCTCTGTCTTCAGCATTTTTTCCAGCAGCTTATGTGGAATGTTGGCATGATGTCTGTCCCATAGGTATCAGTCAAAGGGAAAGTATATGCCAGCGTGGGCTGCAGGCTTCATATAGGAAAAGAGGCTTTCAACACGGAAATTTCCATTAATTTCTGTTTTGCTTTTTAGAAAATGCTAACAATCTAGTCATTCATATAAATAATTCCATGTAGATATGTAGCACATATTTTTAATATGTTGGGATCTAGAAACTATGTTTTGAGAGAATTACAAGTGATTTTGGGGGCACCTGCGTGGGCTTAAGTATGGTTGATGGTTAAGTGTCTGACTCTTGATTTTGTCTCAGGTCATGATCTCAGGGCTGTGAGATCAAGCCCTACATCAGGCTCCACGCTGGGCATGGAGCCTGCTTAATATTTTCTCTCTTCCTCTCCCTTTGGCCCTCCACACCCCTAAAAAAAAATGATTTTCATCTTTTGGTCATGTGAGTTATAACCAAAATGAGTGAAAAAAATGAACAGGTCTCCGTATCTCTGGAGGAATTAGATAGGTTACTAATGGTCTCAGTAAATGTGTATGATCAGTGAATCCAGCATTTTCTTTACCAGTCACCTGAGTTGATTGGGAAAGTATTCTTCTATTTGCTTTTCATAAGCTTTATTTATATAAGGAGTATAAAGTCAGTTGTACTATCCATTTGATCAACTGTACATTTATTGCAAACGAGACCAAAATATTATTTTTTGTAATAAATATATATATATAAATATATAATGTAAAATTTCTGTAGATAAAACATCTAATATAGGGCTGAATGAGAAAGTTTATTGAAATAAATATATTAGACTTGTAAATTTTTCTAAAGGGTCCTGAAAACCCAAGAATTTATTATTTGCAGAAATGCTCTTTCCCATTTGTTTTCCAGAGCTGTGTATCTCTATTGCCTGCTGTATTTTCTGGATACTTTGTGTAATAATGCAAATTTCACATTATTCTTTTTAAAAAGATCATCTCTGCCCCCTTTTTTCTTTAATGCTTTTACTTAATAAGACCAGCATCATCACTACATGTTTGGTAGTTCTGTCCTGTCTTTTCCTGTGTGCTTATAATTTGTGAGTTCTTTTGCAAAGAGCTTTGGTATTCCAGAAAGGAAAAAAAAGTAAGATGAAAAAGAATATTTAAATAAGTGGTTTGCTACTTTCTTAAGTTAGCCTATAATAGAAAAAACTTTTTTGGAATTTTCTCTTATGTCACTTAAAAATATAGCCTTCTGGTTAGAAGTATGCAAGGAAATGTTCCTAAGTCATGTAACCTTGTTATCTTTTCCAAGAGTTATTACAAATAAAAAAAATTTCTCAAAGAAGTCTAATGATTTTTGCACCTGAAGGTGCATTTTCTATAACTAATTGGTTTGTTTCCTGATCTTTGAACAAAGCCCTTGACTATAATGTATGCTGTTCCTCTGTTACTTTAGTCCTCATTGTGTAGGAAATACACAAATGGAGACTATTACATTAGTTTGGCACTTATTCATAAAAAAGGTTCATGCCATTTCAGGTTTTGAGTTACAGGAAGGGCTACTCTCCTTAACCAGGTGGGAAACCCATTTTAAAACCTTAACTTAAAATAAATCAATATGTATGTACTTAGAAAACCTGACCAAGAGTTGATAAAGCCCAGTGGATCCTACTGTATTGTCCTGGGCTCATGGTCCTTGGTGCATATTCTAACCTCTGTTTTGACACTGAGCTTAGAGAAGGTGTCAGCTGCATATGGCACAGGACATACATGAGTATAGACTTTTCTGTCAAATAAGTATTCTGATTTCTAATGTTCATAAAGGCTGTCACTTGGACCCATAAGTATGTCATTTCACGTAACTGATTGGGATTCATTAGGTGGGTTATTCTCTGATTCTGCTGGAGAAAGCATAGCAGATATTCCCTCATGGTGTCAGCCTACTTTTTCTTCAGGAAGAGTAATGCCCTTGAGTTCCTTTGCTTTATTTGGATGTGAGCCATTTTGCTTTTAGACCTAGGACATCAGCAGATCTGAACTGGACCCTGTGTGGGTATCAGATAACCCTAAAACCAAGGCCAGGCTAAGTTGCCATTGGCTGACATTCAGGACTCAGGCTTGAGAATAGGACCCTCACATGTTCATTGACCTGCACTGATAAGCCATGTCCCCAAAATTCAGTCACATTCACTGAAATACCAAAACAGATCATGAGCTTTGTGTTGCTTGTTCTGAAATTACACCCTTGATTTTAAAAGTACTTTGTATCTTCTCACAATCCTTTTTGGAAAGGAGATAGAATTTTCAAGTAATTTAAAGAAATTCAAGTATGAATATGTTAATATAATCATTGGATTATCAATTGTTAATATACCTAGAGAATACAATAGAGAATATAGTTAATTATTTCCCTAGACATTTTCCTGCAAATTTTTCCTGAAAGAACACAAGTGGAAATATTCTTTTTAATGAATGGTGGTTATCTATTAACTCCGGATTCTCTTTCTCTTTCTCCGTTTCTCACCTTTCATTCCATTATATTACCCTGCATTTTCCTTTTCTTTTATTTTTGTTTATGTTAAAATGCCACTTCCCTTTTTTAATTACTTTTTACCCAGACACTTCTGAAGTTGATTTATTTGTTATTAATGCTCCATACACTCCAGTGCCAGATCCCACTCCCATGATGCCACCTGTGGGAGTTCAGGCTTCCATTCTGAGTCATGACACCATAAGGATCACATGGGCGGACAACTCACTGCCCAAACACCAGAAGATTACAGATTCCCGGTACTACACAGTCCGATGGAAAACCAACATCCCAGCAAACACCAAGTACAAGGTACTGACACATTTGCTCTAGGTGAGAAAATCTAGCTCTTGATATTTCCTAATTCTAAAGTTCTTGATTCTTATGCTTCCAGAATGCAAATGCAACAACTTTAAGTTACTTGGTGACTGGTTTAAAAGCAAATACACTGTATGAATTCTCTGTGATGGTGACCAAAGGTCGAAGATCAAGCACATGGAGTATGACAGCCCATGGGACCACCTTTGAATTTGGTATGTGTTGTCTGAATCTTTGTAAGACGTGAAAGCCAGTGGAAGTCCAGCTAATGCTGGGCCACATTCCAAGTCATGAGACTTCTCATCACCTGCTTCTACTACCCAAGGAAAGAATCAAGGGCATGAATTAACCCACTTAAAGAACGTAGTGAGCAGCACAGCTGGAGATCAGTGTTTGCTTTTTCAGCTGATGAATTAGGTTTCCTTCATCACTGAACAAGGACATTAGCAAATAATGGGATTATAGAAAGCAAAGTATACTAGATTTTAGGAATCAAGGGACTTGAGTTCCATCCCAGGTTAACCAAATACTGACTGTGTAAGTCATAAGTAAGTCATCCAGCCTATCATTTCTTCCATCTGCAGAAGAGGGGTGATAATAATATCTGCCTTTCCTACCTTATAGGGTTATTGTAAGGTAAAATGAGCAGATGAGAAAGCACTGTGTAGATGTAAAGGATTACTGTTATTAATCCTGCTTTATTGCTAAATTGAGATAGAAAAAATGAAGTGACCTGCTCTTCACCAAGCCTCTGCCAATGCCATGCTTGCTAGAGCCTCAGAACTTTACCAGGGAACCTGAAAGCTGCCCCAGCAGCCTTCTTACAACCAGTTAGTATCTGGTAAAATCCCATTGGGGCAGCCTAAGGGATTTTGTCTGTAAGTAAACATGAAAGATAAAAGACACCTAGCAAATTAAGGGGAAAGCAGGCTTGTATCCAAGTTTGAGATTTTGTTTGCCTTTTGCTCATTTGTAGGTCTGCCCTCTACCTCTCGTACTTTTCTAGCATGGGGATATGTGTAACCATTGGGAGCCTCTGTCCCTTCCAGCCTCCTATGGCTTTTTTCTCCTGTATATAAATAATGAAAAAATGGCGCTAATCAAGTCTCTCCAGACTGGGCCTGGCCCTGGTGTCTTTTTGTCTCCTGCACAGTTGGTTGGACTTCCTACAGAGAAAAGGGATTGGATCTGGAGAGCTTAGAAATAACAGTGCATAAAAGTTTAAATAGACCTTGAGTTTGCTTTCTTTGCTAGTTTTAAGAATATCTTTTTGCTTCATTCCAATCCATTAGTTAATAAATAATATTATGTATTTTCTTAGGATGTCTTCATTTCACCAGGCTTCCTTCCATTGTATGCTAGGAAGATTCCAGTATTTTAGGAAGAGAAGAGTAAATTTAAGGATGTACTTAATTTGCTCATTTCTGTACTAGTACATTAAAAGTTGTTAGCCATAACATGGAAATAAAAGAAATGCAGTGTTGTTTTTATTGTTGGTGTTGTTTCATAACAGCTTTGCATTTCAGAGCAATAATCTCAAATAGTTGACAGTGCAAACTTAGAATAAAAACAGCAGTTTGTAACTCATTTATTCTTTGAGGGAATAGGGGGTTTCAAATATTATATTTTGTTTGGAGAGCCAACTATAAGTGAAAGAGAAAATTATTTTACACTTGAAAATATTCTAACAAAATAATCCAAATTTGGGGAGGGGGGGAGTCATCTTGGGCAAATTACATAACTTTTTTCATTGTCGATGCCCTGCTCTGTCAAGCAGGGATAGTGGTAACTGCCTTTCAAGTTGCCATAAATATTAAGTGAAATACTATTTATAAAATGCCTGGTATAATGTAGATACTTGGTAACTAACTACAGAGGTCTTTTGATTTCCTTACCTAAGAACCCTATAAATCCCTGATCTCCAGCCCAAGATACCAATTCTATATCCTCACAGTATGGTGTTTTTTCTTTGGTACTTGGCATATTCTTCTTCTTTTTTTTTTTTTAAAGATTTATTTATTTATTTGACAGAGAGAGAGACAGCAAGAGGGGGAACACAAGCGGGGGGAGTGGGAGAGGGAGAAGCAGGCTTCCCGGGGAGCAGGGAGCCCGATGCGGGGCTTGATCCCAGGACTCTGGGACCATGACCTGAGCTGAAGGCAGACGCTTAACAACTGAGCCCCCCAGGCACCCTGGCATATTCTTCTTTTTATTGGATCTGTTTACATGTAGACTATGAGTTCTTTGAAGCCAAGAGACTTTAGCTTTTTTGCCTTATACTTCTTATTGCACCTTATAAAAGGAAAGGGTTGCAGAAATGGTGAATGAAACTGGAATGGACAGGAATTATTGGAAGTGTTATTATTTTGTAGTTCCTACTTCTCCACCCAAGGATGTGACAGTTGTGAGTAAAGAGGGAAAACCTAGGACCATAATTGTAAATTGGCAACCTCCCTCAGAAGCCAATGGCAAAATTACAGGTAAGATGCCTTTGAGTGTGTATCTGTTCTCTGTTCCAGTCGGGCAGAAGCATTCCAGCCCAGTACTGTGTATTTGGGAGAAGTGGGAGTCCAGAGGTTGGCTTGATCATTTTACGAGGCACAGGGAGTCATGATGGTCCTTGAAAGTGGACCAAGGGGGTGCTGTTTGCTCATATTAACGTCAACATGAATTGCCAGGTGGTTGTTCTGAGTCACTGAGTGAAAGTTTGATGGGTGTTGTTACATTAGACAGTCTTTGGCTACATTGGGACCTTTTGGACATACTTATTTTCATCAGAAAAGCTGTTCTTCTCTGCCTCTGACTAGATGATCACCTTGGGAGTTAAAGACCCTGCCTGATTCTACAGGGTAGTACCCAGTAAATACAGATTCAGCTCTTTTAACCTGAAGCCCCAAAAAGCTCATTAGACTTTTAATTCCGTTTTTCCCCCAGGCCTGCTACTTCAGCTTCCTGTGCTCTAACACTAGAGTTAGAAGTTTGTATTGGCCTAGGCCTTTGAAGGGGCCTGGGATTTTTCCTTGGACTTCCAGAGAACTTTCCATGTAGAGGACACTATGTTTTCCTCAGCTTTATCAGGGAGGAAAGCCTGATAGCCTGGGATTTAGCTGTTAATTATTCTCCTCGGAACCTCTGCTCCATGTAGGTGTATCCTGAGGAACAGGAGTTTGCTTTCTGATGTTCCTTTGTATGAATAAGGAAACTGAAAGCATGTCTTAATATTGTCCTGCTTCAACTTTCAATTAGAATTCCTTCCCATAAATCCCTGGTGTCATTTTTTAGGTTTTTGAACTTGCCTGTTCTGTAAAAGAATGAAGCATGACTTGACTTGGATTACATTTTATTTTGTCTTCAAAAACCAGTAATGATGCAGTCAGTGCATTTTTGTGCTGTGTAGGTCAAGTAGGCATGTGGGTGTCTGTTCTTGCCTCAAACATGGAGACTGAGTGCCCCCTGGTGGGAGTATCAGGTGATGTTTCACTGTGACTTCACCCACTTCAAGTTTGGGAGAGCTTTAATAAAGGTACTGCCCACATCCCCAGGTCTCCCAGGAGTTTTTCTTCTGGGAAATCACATTGCAGAGAGCTAAACAGCATGTTGGGCCAGTGTCGGTTTTCAAAAGTGCATTATTTTAATCATAGACCCTTGATGGGTACATTATTCAAATATTAAGATGTTGAAATGATTGGATTGTTTTCCTTATACTTCTTAGCTTCTGAGAGTTCTTAACCCTATATTATCATAACTACTTTTATTGCTTCAACTACTGATACAGATGATAATTTATAACCTGGCACTGTTGAAATTGTGGTTTTCTCTTTATGATGTTCAGTGTAGCATTTTGAATGCATTTTACTGTTGGTCTTTAATCAGTAAGTGGTTCTCTACTTGTATATGCTATAACAGATATCTTTATTGACTTAAGAAAAGAAAAGGCAGGAATAAGATATCTTTTCTCATTTCCTCCTTTGGACAGGTTACATCATATATTATAGTACGGATGTGAATGCGGAGATACACGACTGGGTTATTGAGCCTGTTGTGGGAAACAGGCTGACTCACCAGATACAAGAGTTAACACTTGATACACCGTACTACTTCAAAATCCAAGCCCGAAACTCAAAGGGCATGGGGCCCATGTCTGAAGCTGTCCAATTCAGAACACCTAAAGGTAAATCTCCACTAAACAGCATTTTATTCTATGTCTCTCTAGTGGGGCAATGCTTGCACATATCACTTTAGCATAAAGAGACTATGGAGACTATAAGAAGCCCTGATGGGTCCCCGCGTGTGTGCACCTAATCTCAGCTGGTCCGCCCGAGACCCCCTGAGCGCCAACCCTGTTCCCCCGCGCGGTCCCATTTCCGCTCCAACAAGATGAAAGAAACTATCATGAACCAGGAGAAACTCGCCAAACTGCAAGCTCAAGTGCGCATTGGTGGGAAAGGAACTGCTCGCCGAAAGAAGAAGGTGGTTCATAGAACGGCTACAGCAGATGATAAAAAACTTCAGTTCTCCTTAAAGAAGTTAGGGGTAAACAATATCTCTGGTATTGAAGAAGTGAATATGTTCACAAACCAAGGAACAGTGATCCATTTTAACAACCCCAAAGTTCAGGCATCACTGGCAGCGAACACTTTCACCATTACAGGCCATGCTGAGACAAAGCAGCTGACAGAAATGCTACCCAGTATCTTAAACCAACTTGGTGCAGACAGTCTGACTAGTTTAAGAAGACTGGCTGAAGCTCTGCCCAAACAATCTGTGGATGGAAAAGCACCACTTGCTACCAGAGAGGATGATGATGATGAAGTTCCAAATCTTGTGGAGAATTTTGATGAAGCTTCCAAGAATGAAGCAAACTGAATTGAGTCAACTTCTGGAGAACATAAAACTTGAAGAAGTTACTGGGAGCTGCTATTTTATATTATGACTGCTTTTTAAAATTTTGTTCATGGATCTGATAAAATCTAGAGCTCTAATATTTTTAAGCCCAAGCCCCTTGGACACTGCAGCTCTTTTCAGTTTTTGCTTATACACAGTTCATTCTTTGCAGCTAATTAAGCTGAAGAAGCCTGGGAATAAAGTTTGAAACAAGGTTAATAAAGTTCTTTGCCTAGGGAAAAAAAAAAAAAAGAAGCCCTGATGATGAGCTTATGAGCCACAGTGTGAACATTTATCTCAAAATGATCCCTCACCCACCCATTGACCACCAAGTCAGTGCTCCCTAGATTACTGGCCTAACCGTATCACAGACAAGGCTGTTCAAGGCAGATGGATTGCAGTGATCTCAGAGTTTTTACCAGTCAGATCAGATGTGATTCTCTTGGTTCTCAGGTAGAGTAATAGCATGTTATTGTGATGGATGATTCCCTTTCAACACATGCAGGCTTTTAACCTGAAAGGCTTATTCGTGGACCTTTGTAGAGAGAAAGACACTAACAGGGGAGCTTTGAAGAAAACTCTAGATAAGAAAGTGAAGGTAAAGTACTGAACCAAGTGAGCCTAGGAATAAAATTTAGTTGGGGACTGAGTCTGTGGAAATGTGGCAACCATGTATGGATTTCTTTTCTGTTAGTACTGAAAATAAGACTCAATTTGTTTGGAAGTTTGTGGGGTTTTATTTTTTTTCCTTTAAAAATTCTGCCTGTCCCACCTTCAAAGCTTGTGATCCTTGCTCTTGTTTTTTCTCCCCCTGTGCTTGGCCTGTTAGCGGACTCCTCTGATAAAATGCCTAATGATCAAGGTAAATCAGTAGATGGCCTCTCTCTCCTTTCCTCTCTTTTGTGACCTATTTTTATTAGCTTTTTGTTGTTTTTGTTTCTTTTTTTTTTTCCTGAAAATCAGTCCTATATGTTAAAATCCACATTATTCATTGGCCAAAGTGGAGTTGAGTCCATGTTTGTGGCACTTGGGGTATCTGAAAAGCTGGGGAATCGACTTAGGGGCTAAATAGGCAGGGGAAAAACTGAGGAGAGTAAACGGAGTTCTGCAGCTGTAGATTGGCCTTAAGTGTGGGCCAGTTTGTCCTCTGTGCTAAGATATTGAAATTCTGTAATAATGATAGGCATTTGGACCAGTATGAGAACAAGCATACCAATTTGTCGTATTTGTAGCATCTAGGATTGCATTAGTATCTCTAAATGAAAAGTTGTAATCAAATTCAGCAAATACCCTATTTTCCTCCCCTCACCAAGAATCTACAGATTTACCCTACTGAATTGTGTGATTATCTGTGACAAAATTAGTGCTATTTATTCTGTTAAATAAGCTTAATTCAGAGCTCTTTTTCTGTTTCTTCCCTTAAATATATCTGCTTGTTTTAAAAGAGATAGAAACAATTTAAAATGGAAACTTAGGAAGTACAGGCTTCAGTGTCACCATTCTCGAAATTGTCAACATAGTTTTTCCACTGTTATTGCTATGGTGGAGAGGTAACTGGACTGTGGTTTTCATCTCTGGGGAGTCAGCTAGAGTTGGTATCTGTTTTCTATACTCAGAGCAATGGAAGTAAAGTTGATGGTTGCTTTCAAGGTTTAAGAGTAGCCTTTAGAAATAAAAAGTCTTGGGGCGCCTGGCTGGCTCAGTTTGGTGGAGTGTGCAACTCTTGACCTTGGGATTGTGAATTTGAGCCCCATGTTGCATGTAGAGATTACTTAATAAAATCTTTAAAAAGAAGAAGAAAGAAAAAGTCTTTGGGTCTTGTTAATGGCAAGGAAAAGTCAGAACTTGAGGTTGCATGTTTCAGGGCTTTGGAAATGTATTTGCACTCAGTCTTTTGTTGTATGTTGGAGAAACTGCAAATGTGCTTGTGTGTATGTGTAAGGCGCCCTAGTGATGGTAGACATTTTGACTTAAGTGTGAGAACAGAAAAATAACAATACTGTGTATGCACAGAGTATAAATGTGCTCATCGTTTTTCCCACACTTCACTGGATAAGCCAGAGTGTAAGTCTTACTTGCACCGCACTTCTGGCCTTTAAAATTCTTTACCCATAGTTCTTTTTGGTGTTTGGTTGATCCTTGGAATTTTTTCTTCATAGGTTATATTTAAAAGCAAAAATGCTGGGAAATAGAGGAATTAAACCAACCAGTTTATTGGCAAAGTATATTCTTTGGCAATTATTTACATAATATGATAGTTGGGCTTACATGTGGGCTACCTGAAAAATAAGCACCCTTAAGTCTGAAGAGCCTTACAAGGGCTAAGTCATCTCCTCCAACTAGACTTCATCCCAGTGAAAAGAACAACTGGAATCCTAACATAGGGTGTGTGCCACTTGGGAACAATGATGGCCATGGAAGTAAGGAGATAAAGGAACAAGTATGGACAACAGAAAAGGGATCGGGGACTGAGTTAAATATGCCCTTTTGGATACCCAACAACTTCCGTTACTTTGGGAGTTTTGAGCTTCTGGAAACAGAAAACATTGTTTTCATCTCTATATTTATTCTGTTAAATGAACTATATATAGAAATATTCAGAATTTAATTTTTCATTTAGTCCAACTCTGATAATTTATATAAGTACTTGACATTGGCTGTAATGTTTAATAGAAGCATTTTATGCATTTCTAGTCAAGCTTTATTTGTAGAAATAATTATTTATGAGTGTTTTCTGAAGCTTCATGCTCTGTGCCTCTGCAAAGGGAAAGGTTATATTCTTCCCTAAAGATTTATTATGTATGTAATAATAGCAGCTAATATTTGATGAACAATTGCTATGTGTCAGGCAGTATTCAAAATATTTTATAGGAGTAAGTTTCCTTTTAATCCTCAATACATTTTTGTGAAGTAGATACCATTATTATCGCTGCTTTACGATGAAGAAACTGAGACCCAAAGATAATAAATGACTTGCCAGAAGTCAAGTACATGATAGGCCAGTATTCAAGTGAAGGCAGTGTGCTGTATTAACCATGAGGAGCAGCTTTGACTTTGCAATTCTTTCAGACTTCTTCAGGAGGAATCCAAACCTTGGACTGATGAATACCTTTGCTATATTGGGAAAGGGTTCCTTTTATTTGCTTTACCCAAGCGGCTTTTTCTATAAATGTGAACAAAATTCAGGACCAAGAATATGGATTACTAAAAACCTGATCTTTGTGTTTTATGAAATCTCTTTGTGAGGTGGTCCCAAGCCTAAGATCGGCAGCCTTACTCATTGTATTTTATGACAGTGGATTAGGAGAGAGTGCCCTCGGTGAGCAACAAGAGGGGAGACTTTGTTTTTCCATTCTTGGGTATTTGGGTAACTGAGCAGGAACTGAGAACCCGATTTGAACTTCCACGTGTCTTCTTGCTACTGCTTAGGGTATCTTTATATTGGAAAAGGCAACTTCATAATTTGAGGAAAAAATCCAAACACTACTGACACCTACTAGGAGACCAGCGTAGCCAGGTCCTTTGGAAAAGTCCACTTCTGTAATGCAGAAGCCAACCTAACTGGTCCCTTGGTTCCTTTTCTGAGAGAAGCTACTTTTGCCGTAAGTGCTCTGAGCGGTCTTGCAGGAACTGTTTCCTGGGCAAGAGAAATGGGTGTGTTCCCACCTTATGAACAGCAAGTGGCAGTCTAGTTCCATGCTAGATATAGCCGTGGACCGAGAGTGTCAGCCTTTCAGATGCCTCATTGCATAGAAAGCTATACCTTAGTTTGCTTTGCATAGCCTATTTTGTCCCCTGTTGTTTATGTGCTACTTCATTCTCTCATGGACAGAGTAGACTGAAAATATTTTTTTGTAGAAAACACTCACTAGCTGTGAAGTGGACTCATCACACCAGTGGCTTGAGTCATTACTGACATGATTTCTTCTCCTTCAGCCTCAGGGTCTGCAGGAAAAGGAAGCCGGCTGCCAGACCTAGGATCCGACTACAAACCTCCAATGAGTGGTAAAGTCTTTCTTATGGCTTTTTTGGCCCACTGTGGGCATGACATGGTTCTGCTTGAATCTCGAAATGTCTTTTGTAGGTTCTTTGTGGTGGGTTAACCTGTTTCCTTTTATTTAGTAGTTACCTTTAGGCATTTTCTGGCAAAAGTTTGCTGAATTACTGCAAACCCATTCATTATAAGATCCATAAATAAAATTATTTTTCCACATAGCCAACTTAAAATAAGATTAATTCTAAACAAATGAGTCTTTTGCCCACTGTCTGCCTCTAGAAAAGAATTAGAATCTTGCTCTCAAAAATAAACCCTCTAATAGGATTATCCATCACCTAGAACAAGCCAAAGAAATGCTTTAGAATCATGACTTTCTCCCCACACTGCTTACCACAGTGTTTTAATTTGGGAATTCTAAAAAATTCTTCCCACTCTCCTAGCCAGCTTAAGAGCTGGTGCCTTCTAATTCCTTAATGATGGCACCTACTTCTCTACAGAACTTCATTGTTTATAAGTTACTTTCACACCTGAAATTACATTTGATCTTCATAACACTGAAGCTCGGAGAACAGATATTCCCATTTTATACATTAAGAGACTCAGTGGTGGAGAAGTAATGTGCCTGGATCCACCCACTAATTATGAAAGTCCTAGAACCAAAATCCAGATCTCTGACTCCTGATTGTGACTTTTCCACTACCACATGCAGCCTAAAAGGCCTGGGGTTCTGTACCAGATGTGGGAATCTGAGTCCTGGGCTGAGTTCTAGGACTCTGCGCTTTTCCTTTTGGGATGTGTGTATTATATTTATGTGCTGTCCACAGTATAATATTCAAGGCTCTGAGAAGAGCAATTGTTTCCTTGTCTTTCATTTATACATTCGTTCATTCACACGTGTTTATAAAGGTTCAGGTTCTATGTAACAGGCTATGTATGGAAGCAAAAGGAGTAACAAAGCAGCTGACAGAGAAAAGGGAAAGCTTCATAGAAGAGGAGGTGTCTGACCCAGATATGAAAGGATGCGTGGAAGATGGCTAAATGTCACGGGGCAGGGGGGTTGAACATTTCAGGAAGCACCAACAGCATGTGCAAATGCATGGCAGCAAAAAACAGCCGGCTCTCTCCAGGGATCACACTGCCTGGAGACAGGCTAGGGATTCTCACATTAGAGAAGGTGGTAGTTTAGAACCAGCCTGCCAAAAGCTCAGGTACTAAAGCTACGAAATGTGAGCTTCATCCTGCACATAACACGTGTAACACTCCTTGTACCACGGGCGAACTGTGACCTCCATTTATTGAGTACCAAGTGTTATTACTCTGGTGAATGAAGAATGAGTTGGGGCTAAGATGATGATGTCAGAGAGAGTGGTTAAGAAGCTGTTGCAGCAGTCCAGATGAGGCTTGAGTAGTGGCCTGTCATAATGTCCCCGGCAGGACATGCTCCCGCAGCAGGTCATTTCTACTCTGTCTTGCATGGGAGCTTTTGGTCCTCTCAGAAGTTAGAGGTCAAATGCAGTTAAGTGGGAATTCATCTCTGGAAAGAGCTGCCGCCGCCACCTCTGCTATCCCCGCGCCCCAGCTCCCCAGCCTCTGATTTGCAGTGCCTGCCCTGCCACATACCCTACCCAGTAACTCAGCACTGCTGTTAATAAAAGCTTTATGTAAAGCCCCAATATGGTCTAATTTTATTGGCCCCTAATTCTGTAGTCTTTCCCAAATATAAAAATGTATTATTAAAGGTCGGTATGGACAGTTTAAGTTGTCTATCTGCTTACTTTTTTCTCAGAAATGAGGAATAAATATGATTGAATCAAATGGGGAAGAATAAGCTCTTAAGCCCTCCTAAATCAGCCCAGATTTAGCGCTGTGCTTAGATGTAGCCAATAAAAATCATACAATCAGAAGTTGGAAGGTCAGCTAATGCAGTGTTATGGAAGGGGTTCCCACAATAAGTATACTTTGAATTAGTTCATAAGTTTATAAACCAGGGTTGTATTTAGGGATCACTTTAGGAGCTTTTCTAAAAAAAGATTCCCAAGCCATAGCTTCATGTTAGGAATTTTCTTCTACAGTCTCCCAGACTGGTAGAATGATTCTTCTTAAACACTTCTAGAAACTAAACACTCATTACTTTGTAAGGCAGCCCATCCATTATTGTACAGATCTGACTATTGTAGAGGAGAGAGGGAATAACTGGAAGGAAAGACATCAGCTATCCTATGGTATCATATCCCCTCTTTTTATTTTTTTCATAGCACTTATTACTAATAATTTCTTATTTGTTTATTTTCTGCCCCTATCCCAGCAGTCACATCCTTGTTGTACACTGTTGCATCCCTAGTACCTAGAACAATGCCTGGCACATAGTAACTACTCAGTAAATATTTGTCAAATTAATGCATATGTACAGACCTACTTTTCCCTGAAACTGAATAAGAGAATTAACTTTGCAAAGACTATATTTATAAAAGCAGACTGTATTTTTCAAGTAGTTTTTGTGATCTCAGACATCTATATGTGGGGGAAAACTTTAGCTTTCTGTGAATGTACATTTTTAAAATGCTTTTGAAAGTCAGAAAACTAAATTATTTACAAATGGTGCTTTATAAGACAAATGTATGCATAATATAACATAAGACACCGGGGGGGGAGGGGCAGACCCTTTATTTGTCCAAGTATAATGTTCAGTATAATTCGAGAAGCTTTTACTGAACACCAGCTTTGTGCAAGGCACTGTGTTAAGAACTGTACATAGTGCATAAACTTGGCTCTGCAGATTACATGAGACACTTGTATCCAAAGCAACGAGTATATTACAGAGACTCTCACATCAAGTTTCCATACTCTTGAGTGTATGCATTTTTGGAATTCTCGAACACTAACAAATGTACTGGTTTTCCCTCTTCAGGTAGTAACAGCCCACATGGAAGCCCCACCTCTCCCCTGGACAGTAGCATGCTGCTGGTCATCATTGTTTCGGTTGGCATTGTCACCATTGTGGTGGTTGTGGTCATTGCTGTCTTTTGCACCAGGCGCACCACCTCTCACCAGAAAAAGTAAGGAGCTCATGATTTTTGCTATCTATTCTTTTGCTCCTCTGTGACTTCTGTATTTGGAGTTGTACAAAGAGATAAAGTTTACCCTTGAACAATGTGGGGATTAGGGGTGCTGACCCCCCCCATGCAGTCAAAAATCTGCATATAAATTTTGACCCCCAAAATTTAACTACCAATAGCCTACTATTGACAGCCTTACTGATAACATGAACTGTTGATTAACACCTATTTTGTGTGTCGTATATTATATATGTATATATGTTATGTATGCATATATGTATAATACATGTATATTATATACAAAATATATATATATTGTATTCCTACCGATAACTGTAACCCTCCAGAGAGGTCTCTGAATTGCAGGATATTAGGTACATACCCTCACGCTGGCCCTAACCCTAACCCTAACCCTAACCCTAGATATGAGGGGGTAAATGGAAGATGCAGTATTTATATATACAATGGAATATTACTCAGCCATATAAAAGAGGGAGATCTTGCCATTTGCAACTACATGGATGGAACTAGAGAGTATTACTAAGTGAAATCAGTCAGTCAGAGAAAGACCATATTTTTCACTCGTTTAGAATTTAAGAGGCAAAACAAATGAGCAAAGGGAAAAAAAGAAACAGACTCTTAACTCTAGAGAACACACTGATGGTCACCAGCGGGGAGGTGGGTGGGGGGATGGGGACATCGGTGAAGGGGGTTAAGGAGTGCACTTGTTGTAAGGACTGGATAATGTATGGAAGTGTTGAATCACTTTATTGTACACCCCAAACTAATATTACACTGTATGTTAACTAGCTGGAATTTAAATAAAAACATTTTTAAAAGTCTGCATGTAAGTGGACCCCCACTGTTCAGTCCCATGTTGTTCAAGGGTTAACTGTACATGAAAAGTGATGTTTTAAATATTTTTAAGGGAAATGCAGAATGGTTCTTCCTGTAAATGTGGATCAGTGTTCTGGCAGGAAACAGGTGCACACTCAAGAGGGGTGGAAGGAAGTTTAATGAAGGGACCATTTACAGAGTCATAGGTGGGGTTAGGAGACGAGGCAGAGATGTTCAAGGCCCAGCAGCCATGATAAGCCACTGTCACCCGTAGGCCTGAAAGGGCAAGAGGTCTTCCTGAAGAAGAGAGAGCCGTGTTCAGAGGTCTGAAGCAGTAGGAGAAGGTTTGACAGGAACTGGGTGTGCTGGGAGGAAGGTGGACTCTGCCAGCCTCTAGCCCCACAGGGCGGGGACAGGATAAAAACACCTCCTACTCTCCAGTCTTGTGCCTGTTTCTTCAGTTGGCCAAACCCGTCGGAAGCTAGGAGCAGGGTTGCCAAGTAAAGCAGATAGAGGTCATTTAACTCAACCTCTCGAGTCACAGAGCCAAGTAGAGAATAGATCTGCCGAGGGAAGTGGACTGTGCCCAGCCCAGCCTTGCCGGTAGCTGCTTTGGAGTACTGTTTGGTATATGCACAAGGTGAACCAGATGCACAGGAGTTTATGGGCATTCTTACAGGCTTTTTCACAGCACAAATGCCACCTGAAATGGAAGAAGACCACAGACCTCTTACTCTACATCTAAGTTTAAGAATATTTTTCAACAGGGCACCTGGGTGTCTCAGTTGGTTGAACATCTGATTCTTAGTTTTGACTCGGGTCATGATCTCAGGGTCGTGAGATTGAGCCCCACGTCAGGCTTCATGCTCAGTGCAGAGTCTGCTTGAGTTGCTCTCTCCCTCTTACTCTGTTCCTCCCCCCACCCCCTGCTCCATGTGTGCTCTGTCTCTAAAATAAATTTTAAATTTATTAAAATTTAAATTTATTTATTTAAATTAAAATTAAATCCGTTAAAAAAAAAAAAAAAAAGAATATGTTTCAAGAAGTGCTACCAGGTGTGGAAGTTGAGGTTAGGACTGGCAGGGACAGGTTGGGGGTCAGTGGGGAGATACTGATTTAGTGAATAAGAAAGGCTCATTTATAATGAGGGGTCGAATGACTGCTAGCCCTGAACTCCTCTAGGATATTGAGAGTTGTGGTAATTGTCTAGAGCAAATAGCGAGGTGATTCAGTTATAATACTGCTTGATAACAGCCTATGCTCCTAAACTTGAGAGAGTCCCTGACCCTAGACCACTTTCAACTCACATATAGTATCTGGCCAACGAGACAGATACCAAAAAATAAAAAGATTCCTGAATTACCCCTAATAGCAAAAAACACCCATGGGCAATAAAATGACTTTAATTGCTGTATCCTAAAAGATCATAAGATGGAGATATTGCTCCCTAAAAGAGAAAGACAAGTTCGTGTCAGTGTTTGTGATTATCCCTCAGACTTGGTCTGCCCAAGGCAAGATGCATGTGTTCAAAACACATTTGTTTGTTTTCATATAGACAAGTACAGACTACCCTGTTGCTGCTTCTAGTGATGGCCTTGTCATTTTGTGTTACGTGAGGCTTTTAATCTTTCTTTGCCCAAACAAATAGCTTCCTATAGCTTGCGTTGCATCTCTTTTCCAAGGCAAGGGAGGGGGGCTCCTTTTATAAGCTTCCTGACCACTGCCTCTTACACCTCTCCCTGCCTCCTTTTGATTATGGAAAACTGTTTCTCTGAAACACGTCAGCAATGACATTATTTCTACTCTAGAACTTTTCTGCAAGGTTCTTTGTTCAGCATTTCAAGTGTACCTACTTTTATGAACTTGGTTTTATATCTAGTTTCAGAAATCTTGATCTCTTTATTTAAAAGAATCTTAAAAAAAGCCAAAGTGACGGAATTCCTTAGTGCTTTGGGGGATTTAAAATTCAAAGTAAATAAAAAATAAAGTACTTCTTCAGATTGAGAGGTAGAAAACTGAGTTGGTAATAGGCTCTGTACTTTGAATCTGCAAATCCTGCAGATTTGGGTCCTTTTGCTTAAAAGAATTGTGTCGAGTCTTCATGGGGCTTTCCCTCTCCCTCTCTCAGTTACCATCTTTCCAGGCATTCCATGAACCACTGAAAAATATGTGTGAGCTTTTCTTAATACTTTTCTTCCTCTCTGATGCCTGAAGTGCCTCCCATTTCAATTGTAGGGGCTTATAGGCTCTTACAAACTCAAAGTTGACCGAGCATTTAGGGCCTAGCCGCTCATTGCTTCTCAACACATTCCTCATTAGCTACCTCACCCTTAGCAGATGAGAACTACCTCCAGGTACCACCGTGTGATCCAAAAACCTTCTTCAGTGTACTTTCTCCTACCAGAAGCCAGTTCTCCATTTATCCTCTGGATCTCAATGGCTCTCATCTTTCTAAGACCTTATACTTGCTGTTACCCCCTCCAGCACAGCTAACATTTCACTCTCTTGGCTTTGTCCCTTCAGCAGGCAAGTGTGCTCACACCTCTTTCATCCTAAGAAATCGTAATTATAACTCTACTGCATGGTTCTCAGCTGTTTACAAACCCCTGTCTTTCCCTTCACCACAGAATTTCTTGATTATGATATACACTCATCCATTCTTTCATTGCCTACTTATGCTTCAGTTCTTGTTAATTTGGATTCTGCTCCTACCACTTTACCAAAATTGCTTTTGCTGAGGATTGATGACCTCCATATTGTTAAAGCCAGCAGACTTTTTTTGAATTTTATTTTATTATGTTACGTTAGTCACCATACAGTACATCATTAGTTTTTGATGTAGCGATCCACGATTCATTGTTTGTGTATAACACCCAGTGCTCCATGCAATATGTGCCCTCCTTAATACCCATCACCGGGCTAACCCATCCCCCCACCCCCCTACCCTCTAAAACCCTCGGTTTGTTTCTCAGAGTCCACAGTCTCTCATGGTTCATCTCCCCCTCTGATTTACCCCCCTTCATTTTTCCCTTTGCTCTCCAAATGTCCCCCATTCTATTCCTTATGTTTCACAAATAAGTGAAACCACGTGACAATTGACTTTCTCTGCTTGATTTATTTTACTTAGCATAATCTCCTCCAGTTCCATCCATGTTGATGTAAAAGTTGGGTATTCATCCTTTCTGATGGCTGAGTAATATTCCATTATATATATGGACCACGTCTTCTTTATCCATTCGTCTGTTGAAGGGCATCTGAGCTCTTTCCACAGTTTGGCTATTGCGAACATTGCTGCTATGAACATTGGGATGCATATGGCCCTTCTTTTCACTACATCTGTGTCTTTGGGGTAAATACCCAGTGGTGCAATTACTGGGTCATAGGGTAGCTCTATTTTTAATTTTTTGAGGAATCTCCACACTGTTTTCCAAAGTGGCTGTACCAACTTGCATTCCCACCAACGGTGTAAGAGGGTTCCCCTTTCTCCACAACCTCTCCAACATTTGTTGTTTCCTGCCTTGTCAATTTTTGCTGATCTAACTGGTGTAAGGTGGTATCTCAGTGTGGTTTTGATTTGTATGTCTCTGATGGCTAGTGATGTGAGCATTTTTTTCATGTGTCTGTTAGCCATTTGTATGTCTTCTTTTGAGAAGTGTCTGTTCATGTCTTCTGCCCATTTTTTGACTTGATTATTTGTTTTTTGTGTATTGAGTTTGAGAAGTTCTTTATAGATCTTGCATATCAGCCCTTTGTAATGTCATTTGCAAATATCTTCTCCCATTCGGTGGGTTGCCTCTTTGTTTTATTGACTGTTTCCTTTGCTGTGCAGAAGATTTTTATCTTGTTGAAGTCCCAGAAGGTCATTTTTAATTTTGTTTCACTAACCTTTGGAGATGTATCTTAAAAGAAGTTGCTGTGGCCGATGCCGAAGAGGTTACTGCCTATGTTCTCCTCTAGGATTTTGATGGATTCCTGTCTCACATTAAGGTCTTTCATCCATTTTGAGTTTATCTTTGTGTATGGTGTTAGAGAATGATTGAGTTTCATTCTTCTGTATATAGCTGCCCAATTTTCCCAGCACCATTCATTGAAGAGACTTTTTTCCATTGCATATTTTTTCCTGCTTTGTCAAAGATTATTTGACCATAGAGTTAAGGGTCCATATCTGGGCTCTCTATTCTGTTCCACTGATCTATGTGTCTGTTTTTGTGCCAATACCATGCTGTCTTGGTGATCACAGCTTTGTAACATAGCATGATCTGGCAACATGATGCCCCCAGCTTTGTTTTTCTTTTTCAACATTTTGGCGATTTGGGGTCTTTTCTGATTCCATACAAATTTTAGGATTGTTTGTTCCAGCACTTTGAAAAATGTCATTGGAATTTTGATCAGGATGGCGTTGAACGTGTAGATTGCTCTGGGCAGCATAAACATTTTAACAATGTTTATTCTTCCGATCAATGAGCATGGAATGTTTTTCCATCTTTTTGTGTCTTCTTCGATTTCTTTCATGAGTGTCCTGTAGTTCCTAGAGTATAGATCCTTTACTTCTTCTTTGGTTAGGTTTATTCCAAGGTATCTTATGGGTTTTGGTGCTGTTGTAAATGGAATAGATTCTCTATTTTCTCTTTCTACGGTTGCATTGTTAGTGTATAAGAAAGCGACTGATTTCTGTGCATTGATTTTGTATCCTGCCACATTACTGAATTGCAGCATGAGTTGTGGTAATTTGGGGGTGGAGTCTTTTGGGTTTTCCACGTAAAGTATCATGTCATCTGCGAAGAGAGAGAGTTTGAGTTCTTCTTTGCCAGTTTGAAGACCTTTTATTTCTGTTTGTTGTCTGATTGCTGTTGCTAGGACTTCTAGTACTATGTTGAACAATAGTGGCGAGAGTGGGCATCCTTGACATGTTCCTGATCTTAAGGGAACAGCTCTTAGCTTTTCCCCATTGAGGATGATACTCGCTGTGGGTTTTTCATAGATGGATTTTATGAAACTGAGGAATATTCCCTCTATCCCTATACTCTGAAGAGTTTTAATCAGGAAAGGATGCTGTATTTTGTCAGACAGCAGACACTTTTTCGTCCTTGGCTTAATCTCTCAACAATATTTAATTCAACTACTCTTCCTTCTTGAAACATTCTCTTCTCCTGTATGTCATAATTGTATGTTCTCTTTCACAGCTCCTCCTGTCTACCCAGCCATCAAACCTTCCTCAGGACCTGATCCTAGACTGACTTCTCCTTCTCTGCTGCCCCCCAGTGATATCTACTCCCATGGCTTCATTTACTGTCTGCATTCCTGTTACTTCTGTGTTTCTTTCTCTGGCCACAGCCTCTTCTGAGTCTCAGACTTGCACGCCCAGTTGCCTCTTCTACATTTCCTCTTGAATGTCTCAGAGGCATTCACCGTGTATACGACAATTTATAATCTTTTCTGTCAAGCCTGCTTCTACCCCATTAATTCCAATGTTAGTAAACAGCTCAGCCTCATACCTTGTCAACATCATCTGCTCCTCTTCCTTCTCTACTCCCACCCCACCTCACATCATTTAGTCGTCAAGGCTTGTCATTTCTGCCTTCTAAATAGCTGTCAAATCTGCCTCCTTCCTCCGTTCCACTATCCTGGACCACTGTCAGTTATGGCTAAGACTCGCAGTAGCATCCTACCTGGTCTCCTGTTCTGTCCCCCACCCCATAAATCCATTCTTCATACCGCAGTTGGTATAAATGTTTAACTCAGAATTGATCTCCTTACTGTCCTGCTTGAAACCATGTAGTGGTTTCTCATTACTCATAGAGGGAAGTTAAACTCTTGGCATGTCTCTAAAAGCTCTTTATGATCTGGGCTACCTTTCCAGCATCACTTCATATCATTCTCCACATGGTTCGCTATGCCTCTACCACTCTGGACTTCTTACAGGCCCTCTGATATCCCAGGCTATTGTGCTCTGCTTCAAGGCTTTGACATAAGCTGATTTCATCACCTGGAAAGCATCTTCTGCCCTTCCTCCTTTAAGTCTTAACTTCAGTATCACCTCTTTCTCCAGGTTTGTCTTAGCCACTTTATGCCAACTATTAAGAAGTAGCTATAACACTTGGCATTTCATTAAGCTCAAAATATTTTAAAATAATGAGATCAACATATGTCTTCCTCACTTGACCAGAAATGCTGAGGGCATAGCAGTCCAGTACAGGGATTGACTGACATACAGTGGGTACCTAATAAATTCATATTGAGTGGATGAGTGAGTGTGAGTGAGTGAATGGAGAAATTAAGGCACAGAGAAGTAGACACTGTCATCCACATTCTTGACTTTACCCATTTGGTAGTCCTAGGTTTGGGCTACCTGAAATGTTGTTCCCTTCCTCTTTATAAGCTGCAGACTCTACCTCTCTTCCATTGTTATATTTCTAATGTTCTTTCTCTATTGATTGGAACTTGAGAAACCTTCTGCTTTAGAGATAACTTAATTTTAAAATGCTGTCTAGTCTGTTGATAATAATAAAAAAAAATGGTCACAAGGCAGTAGTCAAATATGCCCTTGTATGTATCTTTAAATATGTGTGGACAAAGCAGAGATACATTTACTGTTTCCAAAAGTAAACTTCTTGCCCCTGTTTGCTCTTGTTTTGTTTATGCATTTTTAGTTTCTGCCTTTGCTTGAGGCATCTCTCAGAAGGGCACTTTTAATCAAGCCTTTTCACAAATAAGTTCAAAAGAGTTACTTAAAAAAAAACAAAAACACAAAACCTCTTAAATTTGTGCCTAGGAAACGAGCTGCTTGCAAATCAGTGAATGGCTCCCACAAGTACAAAGGGAACTCCAAAGATGTCAAACCCCCGGACCTCTGGATCCATCATGAGAGACTGGAGCTGAAACCCATCGATAAATCTCCAGACCCAAACCCCATCATGACTGATACTCCAATTCCTCGTAACTCTCAAGATATCACACCAGTTGACAATTCCATGGACAGCAACATCCATCAAAGGCGGAATTCATATAGAGGTGCAGGTTGTCCCCAAATGTGGGAAAAGTATTTCCATTTAAATCATTTTCCATTTCCTACAGTTGCCAGAATTTGGTGATTCCTGTGTGAGGTTAGGTTTAAAGAAACGTGTTGTGGGATTTGGTCAACATCTGATAAAGAATAGATAGCTTGGGGAAAAAATAGCTTGTTACGGGGAAGAGGTTCTGTACCCAGATGAGACAACCTTCTAGATCTGTTAGGTCTCTTCTCATGTGTCACCAACTTGATACTGAAGCATTCAAGACAACCTAGTCTATGTCTGTACATTTCATCCTCTCCCTCCATTTGGAGTCCACTTCTCATTGTGGTGTTCAGAATGTTCTTGGTCTGGATGCTCTTACTCACAAACACCACATGGAAGCATGGTAGGTAGCATTGTGTCAACTGCACTGAGTCTCAACAGAGACTACTGATCATTTTCCTCTTTTTTCACTTCCTGCAGAAACACCTTGTCCCCATTATGTTGTTTGCGAGTCCTGAACCCCCCATTGCCAATATTTTGCTGCTGAGGCTGCTTAGTGGCCTAGGGCACCTGCTTATAACTAACCTCCATATTTGATGTCTAGGGCATGAATCAGAGGACAGCATGTCTACACTGGCTGGAAGGCGGGGAATGAGACCAAAAATGATGATGCCCTTTGACTCCCAGCCACCCCAGCGTAAGTTAAAAGCCTCTCATTTCCCCTGTGCTGCCAATCTACCAGTCGTCCTGGGGAACCAATATGAATGATCTCTTTGAATTTATGTGATGCTGACACAAAGGATGACCCACTGAAGCTTTGGCACCTTGAGCTGGAAATACCAAACACTTTCATATTTTGCAATTAACATTATTCTTGAGATAAATAAGCTAAAAAGCCAACTACCTCAGTCTCCCAGGAACAGAGAAGTAACCAATCCCCCTAAGAGTATGCACAGCATCTCTACAGGAGGGATGGAGAAGGATCCTTCCAGCCTGGAGCTGAGGATAGCCAGATACCATAGTGTTCCTTAGACTTCCTGATACACATTCAATGTTGATGGGCACCTGCCATTTTTTTTAATTAATGGACTTTATATTTTAGAGGATTTTTAAGTTTATAGAACGGAGTTTTTAAAACAAAATTTTTCAACCTTATTTGACCATGCCTCACTTTGATAAGCATAAAAGTTACCTGGCCTCCTTCAATAATATTTGAAATTCAAACTAAGTTAAATATCATGATTGAAAACCAAAAAACAATGGATCAAACCAATTCTTTTGTTCAAACTACTATGTCTTCTCCCTTGTCACTGTTTTCAAGGTAGGGAATCTGTTCAGACTGGCTAGCACGGTGGGGCTTTCGGGTAAGAGTCCCCTGTGCCATCCTATGGTGAAAAAGCCACCTGCCTACTGATAGCAAGTTTTTTCAATTCTATACCAGAACTATTTGCTGTAAGCTGAACAGATGCCCAGTAAGCCTTCACACTGTCAGATACCTAGATTCAAATCCTGAAAGCATCCACTAGATCACTTTCCAGTTTAACCTAAATGAGGTTTTGAATTTTTTATTCATTTCTTAAGATATCCAATTTCAGAACTCTCGGCCACCTCTCTGTCGACAAGTGGCAGAGATTTAAATAATCACAGATACCCTACACCCAAAGAAGTGAACCCTGGGCGCCTGGGTGGCTCAGTTGGTTAAGCAATTGCCTTCGGCTCAGGTCATGATCTCAGGGTCCTGGGATTGAGCCCCACATCGGGCTCCCTGCTTGGCAGGAAGCCTGCTTCTCCCCTTCCCACTCCCCCTGCTTGTGTTCCCTCTCTCGCTGTGTCTCTCTCTGTCAAATAAATAAATAAAATCTTAAAAAAAAAAAAAAAGAAGAAGAAGTGAACCCTGACCCCCTGTACTTGGAAACTGGTGAAACACCCAGGTGTGTAAATGCATACACACACACTGTCACACTCACCATGCACAGATATGTAGGCACTAGATTCTAAAAGTCAGCTTTGAAAGAGAAAGGGCTGATTCATTAGCAGGTCATTTCTGCACTAGGGACCGTGATGAAAAAAGAAAGGCCTGACCTTAGAAGCATGCAGGGAAAAACATGGTTTTCCTCTGAAAAGAGGTGCCCTGGCTGGGGTCCCAGGTCTAAAAACGTAAGTGTCTGAAAAGAATAAATCCATTCCAGTTGGGTTTGATGTATAGCAAGATGGTAACTTGACTGCTTGTTTGCTTTGTGTAAGATTTTAGTTTTTACCTGAACTGGCTTATTTTTAAATGTTAAGGAGAAAAGATATGTTGTACCAGTTGGTATCAGTTCTTTTTTTCTCTTTTTCTTTTTTGGGGGATGGGCAAGGAGTACACATAAATATACAGTATTATTTAATTTGTGCCTCAATAGTTGGGCGAGTGAGTGGAATCTTTAATTCAGGAATCTGAAACCAGGTATTCTGATATACTTGTGACCTTCAGGTTTTGAGATCTCCTTTTCCACATGTGGCTCCAGTCCTTTTTCTCAAGCTGGGGTTCCCTGGAGTCTGTCCCACTATCCACCTGCCTGGCCTTCAGCTACTGAGCACTGCTGGGAAAGAACTTGCCGGCATTGGCTGAGGTTCAGTCAGCCATGTACAAGGCTTTGCTCAGAAGCCCAGGACCCAGGCAGCTAACAGCCAGTGATTGCCAAACGTATTCTAGGGAGCTGCTTTCACATTGTCTTCTTTTTTATTTACCCAATTTGGAAAGACTAGAAATGCCTTTAAAAAGAGAAAATCAGTTTTATTTTTCTGTGCTAGAGTCCTGCATACCTAGAATGCTTTTCAGGTTGCATTTCCTAGGTAAAAGTCAGGAGGCTTCTTCTGCTCCCCCTGGCCTTAATTCTAGAAAATACTGATGCTGAAGCTCCCCACTTCAGAAAACCACCTCTCTTCCCCTAAAGGAGATGCTGACTCCCAGACTGCCCTGAACCTCCTCTGCCAACTTTTCCAAGTTGTGTTTTATTCCAAAGGACCACCTGAGGCTTCTGGTCTCTGAGTGCAGGGGAAGCCCCTGTTTTGTTCCCCAGGCCTGAAGGAGGGAAGGGGCATTGATGCTCCAGGGCCCTTGGTTGGTTGTGCCACCTGCCTGTCTGACAAGTGGCCAGGGCAGGAAATAGCTGGAGAATAAAAGCGTCTAGGATTTTTCTTCACCAGGTCCCACAGAGATCTAGGGAGATCCTTGGTGACAGAGACATTTAATAGACTCCAAAGGCTATGAAGTTTTATCACAGTTTGTGATGCCCTTGCTTAGAGGGGGAAAAAAAAGGTCCCCTGTGTTCCTAGTCAGCCCCACCTCTTTGCCTCTTTGATGGGTTTAGAGCTGTCCATGTTGGTCTTAAACATTCTGTTTCTAGAAGTACTCTAAGGGAGTACCTAAGAAAAGCTTATTCCCTAACTGGGCTTCTGATTTTGTTTGTTTGCATCTCTAGGATTGATAATGAAGCCTCATTAAAGAAGTGTTTTGTCTTCATAGAAAGTTGTATATGAAATATCTGTGTGGAAATTTGGATTTGTTAACAAAATGCAGCAAATTTAATTCCTTAGGCATTGTGAGAAGGAAGGAGGCAATTAGGAAAGATCCATTTATATTTTAAAATGTGAATGGATGCGGCTGAGCTCCCAGACTAGAAGCAGTAAGAGATGGTGCCATAGGCCTGTGTTTCATGCTTTTCCTACTGGACTGGAGTTCAGTTCTGTTTGTGTTCCTTTTAAGATGTGAAAAACTGATTAAACAGCTACTCATCCATTCAGCCTAAATACCTATTGCATGCCTCATTCAACAATAAGAAAAAACAACATATTAGGAATATACTTGAAGGAAAAGAAACTTCTACTTTTTTAGCAGGAGAAAAAATGAAGGAAACCTAAACCATCATTTGTTTGCTTATGGATTTATATCTTGTGACATACTCAAATAGATATTTTTTAATAACTCGTGTAATCCATGTTTATTGGGAAATACAGATAAACCAAAAGAAGTTTTTTTTAACTCCTGACCATGCCTCCCCACAAGATAATCCCATTAACATTTTAGTGCATATTCCTCAGAGGTTTTTTCTGTGTGTGTGTGTGTGTGTATAGAGAGAGAGAGAGAGATACACAGGAGCATGTTGATTTAAAAAAATAAATGTAAAATCCATGGCTACTTGTTCCCATCCAGCCAGCAGCCATCCGGAAGCTAAGGGAATGGTTGTACTGCACGGGAGGGGCAGGGGTGGCTTTGCTCTTGAACTGTGACTTGTGTATGTCCGTGCAAGCATGTTAAGCACTTCTCTGTCTTGTGTTCATCCACAGCTGTGATTAGTGCCCATCCCATCCATCCCCTCGATAACCCTCACCATCATTTCCACTCCAGCAGCCTCGCTTCTCCAGCTCGCAGTCATCTCTACCACCCGGGCAGCCCGTGGCCCGTTGGCACATCCCTGTCCCTTTCAGACAGGGCCAATTCCACAGGTGAGAGATGAGGCTCGAGCCCCAGGTGGAAAGCATTCCAAGAGTTGGCAAGCTGAAATGGGAAGGACTTGCCCTGCTTAGAAGGATTTGAAATTTTTCTGTGTTGTTTATGTATCATAACGTTTCTGTTAATGACTCAAATTGATTTCTGTAAAATTCACCCCCCATTTTTTTCTCCCAAAGTTGATAAGTGCTCGGTGCAAGGTGTCCTTTTAGTAAAAACACAGTAACCCTAATCACATAACCATGTCTTGTTTCATCAGGTTGCATCTTGATTCAGTCATATTTTCAGTTTGTTTATTTCTTAATCTTCTAATCTGAACAGAAAACTCATTTGGGTTGCTTTTCAGACACTAGATGTGGCCTCCGCCTCGCAGTTACTCTGTGGCTGGGAGGGTCTGTAGGGCAGCCGTAAGATAATTCTCATATTAGATCTTACACATACTTCTGCTGTGGCCTGAAGTAAGAGATGCATCCAGGGGCAGCGGGGCCAGTGGTCACATTGAATTGTGTGTACATTGTAAACCTCACATTGCCTGGAGGATTATTGACATTAGAAGGGGCTGCACAGTCATGAATCATTTCTAAAACACAGATTGGAAATGAGCCTAAAAATCTGCAGTTCATTTAAAGAAATACAGTGCCAGGCAAACATGTACCAGTTTGGAAATCTTAAGAAATAGCATTATCAAAACAGTTTTAAGGAGGAAATAATGAAGGTGAGGAGACAGTAAATGGAGCAAATACTGTTGTTACTCATTAAATGAAAATTAACTTCCATCTTCTCAGTGTTAGGTGCAAATCTAGTAACTTCTCACATGTACAATACGTTCTTTCTCCATCATTCGAAACGTGTCTGTTAATAGTTATGATGTTACTAGTAGAATTAAATTTTGCTTATTCTGGAAAATAAGGAAATTTCAAGTGAATTCCATTTTAAAAGCACCTCAAAACCTCATGCTAGAAGTTTGGGTGCTAATAACATTCCCCCTAAGTTTTGATCAATTTGAAATATACCCACAACACCAAATGAAGATCAAAACTTTATTAAGGGATGCCTACTAACTCCCAAAGTTACCTCTCCCAAACCTTTACTTGGTTTGGAGAATGCCACTTAAACTCATGTCCACAATGAACCTTCCTGCTCTCTCCCTCCAGATCCAGGTTTGGGGCCCCCTGCCTTAGGGAAAGACAGTCTACTGACAGCTGTGTGGAGAACCAAACTCTGCTTTGCAGACCTCGTCTCAGATAGAACAGGGACCAGAAAGCAGCCTTCCAAATCTGCTCTTAGAAAGCAGTTTTGGTGTCCTGACTCTGTTTCTGTTTTTAAGGCAGAAGAATCCCACCCACTAGGATGTGGGCCTGCCCAAGTACATGGCAGGCTCTTCCTAGTCAGATTAGCCCCTTCCTCCTTCCTCTAAGACCAGGAGGGTGTTGAAGGTTGGCAAGGATCAGAGTAGCCCCCACCCAGCCCTGACCCAGGTGGTCCAGTGCTGCTAAAAGGTCCTTTCTCTGTGGACTTGGGCAGACAGTGAAGAGAGGGAAAAGTAATGATTTGTATCACTACAGGGTTCGTCACTTTAATGACCAGAGGGGATAAAGAAGGTAAACTAACGGCAGGGAAAGTCACTGAAGACAGATTGGAAACTTACTTAGAGCAAGTATCTAAATTCTTGATGACCCAAATTCTCTCACTGTTGTATTTTCCTGGGTCTCTGGAGCTCAGTGCTGCTGAACATGTGGGCTAAGCATGACTGGGACTTGGCCAGGGCAGTCCCTGCTCTAGAGAGCCGCCACTTGACTTAGGAAGAGCACTTTCTACTTGTCCAGGCCCTCGGCCACTGTGAACTTTGTGTGTCTTAAACCCTGAGAGGTAAGTCAATCAGGAAGTAGGCCCCTGAGCAAAGCAGAAATTTTAATAACAGCGTAGTTTTCCTTGTGGGCCAGCACCACGCCCTTCGCTGGGCGTAGAACATGCCCGGCGCGCTCTGCAGTTACACGGCAAGGCGGCCCTGGTGTGTGGCAACAGGCCAGGGCTCTGACTCCTGTAGGCAGCCCTGTTCTCCTTTTTTACATTTCCGCCATCTCTTTGACCCTCAGAAGCGTATACATCAAAGTCAGGCACTGAGGTGGCCAGGGCAGGCCTGTGTGCCCAGAGCTGACCTAACCCATCTGCCAATACCGGCTGACATGGTCCAGGCTGTCGCTGCTTCTCCTACCCCCTGCTACGCTCCCTAACCAGCTTCTCCCCAGCCCAGGATCACACGGAGTAGGGCCAGCAGCTCCCCAGCTGTGGTTATGGCTGGCCTAAGCAAGCACAAGACACGAGGTCCTCAGTGCACCACTTGAGAGGATGAGAAGCGACGTAGGCCTGGTAGGGTTATCACAGCCAGGCTTTCCACCCTGGGGGAAGGTGTGTGAGTCCCTCAGCCCTGGGACCCAAGATCTTCAAGCTAAGGGGTTAGCACTCATGACTCGCGTGGCTTGTCTCCTGAGAGCCCAAGGGAATAGATTCAATGATACCTCAGTGACAAAGGCAAGGAAAGAGGTTGGATTTCTACAGGCTGCTCATGCATTACTACTTAAAAGAGTTTATTTTCCTTTTTGAAGTGCAAGACTCTAGGAGTCAGGGGAGGCCCTCCTTCTGGCTACCTGGTGCGGCCTGTTTGCCCTGAGCTGGTGTCTCCAGGCCCCTCCTCAGGATAGGGATGTTGGTCTGCACCAACTCACACTGTTTGAAAGGGCTTTCTCATATGGTGTCCCTGGGTCTGGGTGCTGCTTCTGCCCCCACAGGGTCAGGGGACAGGTGGTATTGGAAATGGAAGGGCAGTATAATGTGGTAGTTCCAAGCATGGGCTTAGGAGTCAGGGTGCAGGGATTCGGATTCCTGCCCTCGCCATTCTTACTGTGTCCTTGAGCGGTGCCTAACCTCCCGGCGCCTTCTGAGTTACTATGAGCATAGAATGAGCTAATGAACGTAAAGCACACAGCGTAGTGGCTGGCTCAGAGTAAGCACTCAGTAATTTACAGAGAAAAGAACGTTATCAATTATTCAGGTCCTGTGTTCAGCACATTTCATACATCTTCTCAGTCCTCACTGAATTATGTTGTTCTCCCTGTTTTGTAGGTAAAGAAACAGACTCAGAGAGATTCAGTGACTGCCAAGTTCACCCAGCTAGTATGCCAGGATTATAGTCCAGGTTTATCTGACTCCAAACCCAAGGTTTTCTCCGTCCCACCATGCTGCCTTCTGGAACAACTCTAACCCCTCCTCACATATTTGGAGATTGTCATGTTCTTCCTTAGTTGTCCCCTTCTCCAGGCTGATCATCCCCTATTTTTTTTCTCTGGGCCCCAAACACCCTTCATATGGCATGCTCTTAAAGCTATTTTCAGACCTCTGGACTATTTGGTTGTCCAAGTCTCCCTTGAGCTGTGGGGCTCTTGTTCCCCCGAGGCTGTACACAGTCCCCCAAGGGCATGCTGGGCCCGTGGCATTGTCTCCCCTGTAGTAACCACCAGGCCCCGTGGGCAGATCTGGTACTTGTCAGGTGGACATGTTATCTATGACAGGCCAGTTTTTAAGACCATCTATCAGTCAATGAGTGATGTTTTTAATCTCCTTTTATGCTTACATCTTAATAGACAGTAGTCTCAGGAACTTTTATGTGTACTCCCTAGTAAAGACTCAGGAGAATGTTGTAAAATTGTGACCACTTAGCTGTGTGGGCAAGAACATTTCAGCAGAGCAGCTGGTTGGCAAAGTTGTTTGGGACTCCTTTAGATTAGTCCACTCTTACCTAGCCTTGGCAGTGGTGCTAATCCATGTTGCCTTGGACTAGCACTGATCCTGAGTGCTTATTGAGCTGGTTTCAGGGGCCCTTAGAAGTAGCCAGAACCCTGGTATGTGCGTGTGTTTAATGGTAGAAGAAATGCTAACATTTAGACTTTCCTGCTGTAGAATCCGTTCGAAATACCCCCAGCACTGACACCATGCCAGCCTCCTCGTCTCAAACATGCTGTACTGATCACCAGGATCCTGAAGGTGCTACCAGTTCCTCTTACTTGGCCAGCTCCCAAGAGGAAGATTCAGGCCAGAGTCTTCCTACAGCCCACGTGCGCCCTTCCCACCCATTGAAGAGCTTTGCTGTGCCGGCAGTCCCGCCCCCAGGCCCTCCCACCTATGACCCCGCGCTGCCAAGCACACCATTACTCTCCCAGCAAGGTGAGTGAGGACAGCAGTACCACTGGTGGGACCCTTTGGCTCTGGCTTGTGGCACAAGTCACCTCTTCTTTGAAAATAGCAAATATCTTCCAAGCTTATCTTAGCAGTTTAGAGTAGCTGGAAGTCATTGTCCCGCTCAGGAAGTATATGGGCTCCCCTCCTTGGGGAATGCATATGAACCAGAGAATAATATGGTGGGGAGTGAGGGCTGACTTTCTGAACCGTGTTTTGGGTGCAGAATGCTTGGTGGTAAAATCCAGTGACTATGGGTGTGGGCAACAGATCTAGTCCACTTAGCCTCCCCAAAATGCCTCCCTCTGTAGGGTTACTACAAGCTAGGGAAGGATCAGGGAGGACAAGACATGGAAGTAAGGGGCCCTTCAGATGGGACGGAAATCTATTCCTCAAGTTCACATGGCCCAACAAAGTCCCCTAACCTGAAAGGCATGTTTTTCCACTTCTCCACATCTGTTATGATGGTCTGTTTAAGGGTAAGTCAGTGGTTTTCAAGCTTTTTGGTCTCAGGGCCCCTTTATACTCTTAAAAGCTATTGAGACCATGAAGGAGCTTTTCTTTACAAGGGCTAGAGCTACCAATAGTTCGTGTATTAGAAATTAAAATGGAGAAAACTTTAAGCTATTTTATTAACTCATTTAAAAATAGCAAATCTATCATGTAAAGATAAATAGCATATTTTTATGAAAAATAACTTTTCAAAACAAAGATACAGAGAGAAAACTGACACTGTCTTGTATTTTTACAAATCTCTGTAATGTCTGGCTTAATAGAAGGGAGCTGGATTCTCATACCTGCTTTTGCATTCAGTCTTGTTGCAATATGTTATTTTGGTTGAAGTGTAAGAAGAAAACCTGGCCTCACAGATATGAAGTTGGAAAAAGGAAGAGTATTTTTGTAACCTTTTCGGAGAACTGGATATTCTTTTTTTGATACTGTAACAAAACACAAGAAGTTGTAGTTTCTTACAGGTTTGTTTGTAACATAATGTAACCATATCCATGAACTGTTTGTACTCTGTTCCATTAAAATCCATCTATCTTGTACTTTGAATGCATGATATCAGACATCACACATTGGTCATTTAGAAAATATTGGTTCATTAAGTTATACAGGTCCTCCAGATCTTAATACAGTTCATTATTCAATGTCTAAAAATACATTTATTAATATCACCAAAGTCTGTAAGTATTGGGAGGCTCTCAAGTTCTTGGTGGCAGATACAAGTTTTTCAACATTCTAATTTTCATTTGAAACTTAAATTTTATCATTGGCAATAAAAAGCGTCCATTGTTTTTCTTGAAGTGACTGGCTTACTTTTTTACTTTCTAGCAAATGTCTGCCAAATGCTCAAGTCTGAATAACTGGTTTGACTGTCAGTCTTTCTTTGGACTAATGTTGGTGTTTCATTACAAAAGCCACAGTTCCGCTTGTAACTCAAGCTGTCACAGATGCCCTGAGCTTCAGCCAGCCACCGTCCTGTAGTATACAGAAGTACTTTATGCATACTTTCCATTTTGTCACATAGAATAAAGGATGTGTAATCAAGGTTGTGATTTCGTAAAATAATTTTTACCACTTCATTAAGGATGATCTTAAGTTAAACTAGCTTTTTTTTTTTTTTTTAATTGCAAGGCATGTCCGTGAATGACTTTATATTTTGGTACCACTGCCTTAATTATGCTAAGGCTCCAACAGTTTTACCCACTGTTGCTTTTATACCATCAGCGCAGAGGCAAAAATATCTTATTGTTATGAAAAGAGTTTTGACCTTCTAGTTTTCTAAAGCCAAATGGAATAGTTTCTCTGGCCTGAGATGCCCCACTTTCTCCCTCCTTCCATCTAGTGCAGTGCCTTTTCAGAGCAGGATCTGTGCACTGGGCCTGGGTGCATCCCTCACCCTGAAGCAGCATTTGGACCTTAGTTGCCTTCATGAGATCTGGGGGAGCAGGCTCAGCCGCACACTTACTGGTGCCCTCTCCCCCACAGCTCTGAACCATCACATTCACTCGGTGAAGACGGCCTCCATTGGGACTTTGGGAAGGAGCCGGCCTCCTATGCCAGTAGTGGTGCCCAGTGCCCCTGACGTGCAGGAGACCACAAGGATGCTGGAAGACTCTGAGAGTGTAAGTTTCTGGGCCATCAGCCCAGCCGGGATGTCTGGGTGTGTGTCCCACAGCCTGCGAGTGTGTGGGTCACACTGATGTTGTGCACTGGCCCAGAGTGTGAAGCAGATGTGCTCGTTCGTTGAGCAGATATACCTGAGCAGCTCCTCTGAGCCAGGAACGGTGCTGAGGGCTTCTGTGCTTTCTCTTCCCCTAGAGCTATGAACCAGATGAGCTGACCAAAGAGATGGCCCACCTGGAAGGACTAATGAAGGACCTAAACGCCATCACGACAGCATGAGACCTTCCCCAGGACCTGACTGCAGACCTGGGTCTAGAAGTCTTGGGACAGAGCCTGGAAAGTGAGGATTGTAGAGAGCACGCGAGGGCAGCACCTGAGAGCGCGGAGCGAGCGAGCCGCCCGGCCGGCGGCCTGCATGGGCCCGGCTCCAGGCACGGCCCCCCGCCTTCTGCTCGCTGGCCTGGAAGAAGCCCGTGTCAGGGCGGCTTCCCTTTGCCTGCTGATACCCTGCAGGACTGGGCACCATGGGCCAAAATTTTGTGTCTGGGGAAGAAGCAAGAAGTGCACCCTACATTTCACTTTGTGGCCAGGCTGTGTCTTCGTGCTGCAACTGCATCGCCTTTATGGAGTGTAGACATTGGCATTTACGTACAGTTTTATTTGTGTCCTATTTTATTTTACCTTCGAAAGAAAAACACTATCAAAAACCAAGGGAGTCCATGGTGTTCTCCACAAGTGGTTGACATTTGACTACTTGTTTGAATTCTGTATGGAAAGTCATTGACAGTGTGGGTTGTCCCAGGGGTTGGCTTGTTTTTAGTTTTTATTTTTGAATTCTGAGTCATTGCATCCTCTACCAGCTGTTAATCCATCACTTTGAGGGGGGAGGAAATGTTGCATTGCTGTTTGTAAGCTTTTTTATTATTTTTTTATTATAATTATTAAAGGCCTGACTTTCTCCTCTCATCACTGTGAGATCACAGATCTATTTGAATGAAATGTAACATTGAAAAGACTTGTTTGTTGCTTTCTGTGCAGTTTCAAAGTATTGGGGTGGGGGTGGGCTGGGAGGTTGGGAATAGGAAGTGGAGGGGCTGCTGAGGTCTGTGAATGTTCCAGTCGTCGTGCTTTCTTCCAGAAGCCTGCAGAGAACGGAAGCATCTTCTTTTTCGTCCTGTCCTGGCATGTCCATCTCTCTTGTCACTAAGTTGCAACTGGACTTTCATTTGGATCTAGTTAAAAAATTCTGTGCAATAGGTGAGTTCGAGGACTTAGCTGCCCTGATGTCTGGGTCTCATCCTGGTGAGGATGTCCGTGCTGAGGAGCCAGTGCCCAGGCGAGAGCCCGAGCCGTTCCTGGAGAATCAGGGGGCAAGATGGAGCCCTTTCCTGCTGTTACCGTGTGTTCCCTGGGCGACGCGGGAGGTGAAGGAAGGAACTTTGTTTCCTCACAGGACTCCTTGCTTCTCTCTAGTCCCTGTCCTTAGCCAGTCTGGTTCTCTCTGCCCTGTTCCAGAGCCCCGTAGGCAAGGCATTCACAAGGATGAGGCGGGCAGGGGCTGCAGCACCCCTGAGGCTCCCCGCTTCTTTCCGAACATTGTTCTGGAGGTAGCAGGGGACGGGGACAGCAGAAGGGGACAGTGGAGGTGGCTGCCGCCTCTTCCATCCCAGCAGCTCAGCGAAGCCCCTGATTAGAACGGAGTAGCAGGGGGCTCCTGAAATATGCTGAGAGGCCCTTTGCCTTTGCAAACAGCCCTTACGTTCTTTGTCTTAAGAAGGTAAGGAGCTGAGGTGGGTTTTTTAAATATTGCAAATAGGAACAAAATCCAGGACTGCCCATCAAGCATCTTCCCCCGCTCCCCGCCGCTCCCCAGAGGACAGTACAGAAGGCAGTTAGAAGGCACATCAGGCTTTGGTTCTGTGGCAGGGAGAGGTGAGCTGCTGAGACCGCAGGTGGATACCCAGCCCACCAGCCCGGGGGCCCTGGGCTCTGCCCTGGCCCCACAGGCACCCCACTTGCCTTTGTACATTAATTATTTCCCCTCTTGAGGTCTTCACATGTATTTGCTGTTGTAGAAGACGAACTCTTTGTATTTATTACTTTGGGGGCAATGAGAAGTGCAATGCCGGAAGTCCTGCTGCCGCACTAGCTGGTCACAGAGGATCGTGCCAGGCAGGGTTCTGGAAAACCAGTGCACTTAAACTGATCCTGAGGAGAGCACTCAGAGCACCCTGGACACCAGGAGGGCTAGATTCCCCAGAAGCTGTCTTACCTTTTGCCCAAAGAAACGTGCTCGGTATTCGGGGCGCTCCCTCCTGTGAACCCTGACACTTGTGTTACCTCAGGGCCTCGATACCTGGATACTGCCACAGAATGGGGGCGGGGGGGGCCTATTTTTAAATAAAATAACTGTTCAAAGTTGGGGGATTTTTTTAAATTAAGAAAAAGGAAAGCTATTCTGTATTGCACCTTTTCACAATTTAATACATTTTCTTACATTTTCCTGTGATTTTTGAAATTAAACCATTGTGTGTCTTGTAACGTCCTAGTTGAGCGGCTGCTCAGCAGCTTCCTCCAGGAGGATTTGGAACAAACGTGTCTGCTGCCTTGTTTGCTGGAGGGGAGCCTGGGGGGCTGCTGGGGACTAGTTTCTGTACACACTTGTTTGGCCTTTTCTGTAGTTGATGCTGTAAACTCTATGGCTTTTTAAAAAAACAGTTTCATGTTTTTATTTAGTATTGGAAATCCAATACACTTTTTTAATCCAATCAAACTCCGGTGTGGTCGAAGAGTTTTTTTCCTTTAAGAAAACAAGAGCTTTGGGGTCCCTGGTTCCCGGCCTCAACATGACCTTCCTGTTGCCCACACAATCTTGAAGGCAGGAGTTCTGAGGGGCCCCCAGGGCGGTGTGGCAGATGAGCCGGGAGACAGCAGGCCACAGCTGGGTTGTCCGCCAGGCCTGAAGATGAGTCCTGTTCCTGTCCCCCACCCCGCCATCGCTGCCCTTCAGGGACTGAGCAGCCCGAGGAACGGAAGGTGGAAAGAGCCAAGGGACCCTGGCAGAGAAGTGCAGTCGCTCCCGGGAGGTGTGTAGGCCAGGTCCCCGATGTGGTAGCATCCTGGCCGCAGTTCGATCTTCTGGCAGCCGTGCCGACCTGGGCCTTCCACTCCAGGGCCCGTCGCTCCCGGGGGTGACGTGTGGAGCAGGTCTACCCCAAGCCCTGCCTTTGCCAGGCTGCCTCACTTTCTGTCCGCCTGCACTCTGTGTCTTAGTTTGGGCTGCTGTAACAAAAATACTATAGCCTGGGGGGCTCAGACCGCAAACAGTGATTGCTCACAGTTCTGGAAGCTGGGAAGTCCGAGCTCAAAGTAGCAGCAGATCTGGCATCTGGTGAAGACCTGCCTCCCGGTTCGGAGATGCCATCTCCTTGCTGTGGCCTCACATGGCCAGAGAGATCCCTGGGGGCTCTTTTCTAAGAGCACTGATCCCATTCATGGGGGCTCCACGTTTGTGACCTAATCTCCCAAAGGCCCCCCCCTTCCAATACCATCCCATTGGGAATTAGGATTTCAGCATGTGAATTTGGGTGTACCAACTTTCAGTCCGTAACGTGGTGAGATTTCTCACAGTATCTGAGGGTCTAGCCTTGGAATACGGTGAGCACAGCAGCTGCAGGCCCTTCGCTGCATGAACTGGCAGTCGGTTGGGGGGTGTGGAGCCCCGCATCCTTACCAATGGCTCCCTCAGCCCCAGCAGATGTCTGCTCTACTGCCGAGCGGACCTCATGAAGCCCAGCTCGCATCATTCCCATTAGTGGCCTCAGGATGGAGTCCAAGCTCTCCAGGCTGAGAACTCCAGCACCGGGGGCACCCAGCGTTCTAGCCACAGAAAGCGGTGAAACAAGCATCACAGACACTGCGCATGGAACCCCCCCGCCTCCACCGTGCCTGTTCCAACAGCCCCCAGGGCGCGCCCTCGTCTGTATCCACAGATGGAGCTCTTGGCATGTTTCACAGTGATTTATCAGTTTGAGTCTTTTCCCACTGGACTGTGGCCTGGTGGGTACATTTTGATTCCTCCTCTCCAAACGCCTAATGCCGGGGCAGTTTTGGACAACAGCAGATGCTTGTCTCCTGGATGGATGGACAGACAGTCATGAGGGCTCAGGGCCCCAGAGCATGTTGGAAGGTTTGCACACAAATCCCACCCCAACCCTCCTTTGGAGGCATCCTAATAGGTCTCTCTCATTACTGTGCCAGGACCCTCCCATTCCAGCAGCCATGGCCCTTTGGTGTCCTGGGCTGAACTTGAACGATAAAAGACCTGTGTGCCTGGCAGTCCTAAGAAATGATGCAGATGCCACAGTGACCAACTCGGTGCTGGGAACTAGGGCAAGGATGTCCTCCAGATTGGTTCTAGATGAACATTATGAACAAGGCTCTTTCCCCAGTCCATCAGCCCCTCCCAATCTCAGCCATCTTCCCCATACCGGGGGTGTAGTATCTTCCGGAGAGACCAGAGAACATCACTGAACATGCCATCGAGTGGATGGGGAAGTGGGCGTGGGCAGGGAGAGAGAAACAGGGAGCCAAGAGGGGCCCTGGACAGCAGGTGCAGCTCTTCACCTTGAGTTTCCAGCTACCAAGGGGGGCGGTTCAGCAGGAGAGCTAGGAGAAGAGGTGGGAGAGACTAATTGAAGGAAAAGAATACATTCATAATCTTTAAAAAGTATATAATGTTGAAACAATGCTATTTAAAACTGCAATTACTCTCTAAGCAGAATGGATGCTGTTCGTCTCAAGATGCTCTTTTACTCAAGTAGGAGGAACTTGATGGGTTTTAGAAATGAAAAGATGGACCTGGAGCTGAGCTGAGAAGGGGTTAGAGGGAGCTCTTGCTGCACTAGAGAGTAAGAGGAATTCAGAATTTCCTGAAACAATGGGGGTGGGGGGATGCTGGCAGCAGGTATGAGCGAGACGGTGAGAGAGTGAGGGGCGAGGTGGGAAGGTCCCCCCAGTGGGAAATGGCTGCCCTTGAGGTGCCCAAAGGACTTTTTCTTTTTCCTTTTTTTTTCCTTAAGATTTTATTTATTTATTTGAGAGAGAGAGAGAATGAGAGCCAGAGAGCATGAGAGGGAGGAGGGTCAGAGGGAGAAGCGGACCCCCCCACCGAGCAGGGAGCCCGATGCGGGACTCGATCCCGGGACTCCAGGATCATGACCTGAGCCGAAGGCAGTCGCTTATCCAACGGAGCCACCCAGGCGCCCCACCAAAGGACTTTTTCAAATGGGAAGATCTGAGAGGTAATTTGAGGCTGTTTGCTCCTTGCACAACTAGAAACAAACCCCCTCAGGCTCCCCAGATCTTGCACAACGTCCGCCATGTGCACAAGGCCTGGCTTCCCCCCAACAAAGGACAGGTCGACCCACATGGGGATGGACAGACCACAGATCTGGCATCTGGTGAGGGTGACCAGAAATGGGATTGGTTCACCAGAAACAGGGGTCCAGAGCCGTAAATGACTAAAAGAATCTAAGCTGGAGAATTCACAGAAATCCAGGGGTCAGAGGGGAGGGCATGAGACCTTTCGCAGGTCAAGGAATGTGAAGGCCAGTCAGCTTTATTCAGATTTTAATAGGCAGGCAGACTTCCGCTCTTGTCTCGGTTGCCCACCCTCCATCCCAGTGCCCCACCGCCTGACGTAGGGACATATGCTACGGGCCTGTCTCTCATTAATGGGTCTACCTTCTTCTCTGGACCTGCTCTCCCAAAGGAGAAATCTGAGGGCCATTCTAAACTCTCCCCTCAACACCACAGCACACCGCTCAGCAAATCCTGCAGCTCTGTCTCAAGAGGCCCCCGAAATGGCTCCTCTTCGTCGCGTGTGAGGCAAACTCCTTGCTGACCCCCCTGGCCTCTGCCTCACCAGCAGTCCAGCCTCCACACAACTACGAGGGTGATTTTTCTAACTCAGATCTGGCCTCTCTCCCCTGCTTAGCACCCTGCAATCACT